TCATGACCATACATACTTACCACTTTCTATTACCGTTGTCCCTTGCCCTTCCCCTTCCCTTCCCTTCCCTTCCGTAGTGCCCGTTATCAGGGCCAGACGCGCCGGCCGGGCCTTTGACCCTGTTGCTACTTCGACTACACAGGTCACAGTATCTACTTGCTGCCGAAGCTCCATCATCTGTCTCGCGTCGCGCCCGCCACGGAAGGTCATTCGGTCAGAAGGCGATGGAACCCGACCTAATTAAACTAGGAAACCTCAGGAGCGAATCCACCACCACCCACCCCCCCCCCCCCCTTATCAGCATTGCTCCGGTGGAAGCGCAGTGCAGTGCATGCATCTGGGGTTGCGACGACCCCTTGCGGACGGGCCACCAGGCACAACCCCAACCGGAGGAGAGACCACAATGACTGTCGACACGTTGCCTTCGGTTGGGGATACGAATCCCCCGTCGGGAAGCATCCAATGGCCTCCCCTGCCTGATGTCGTGACCAGGCCAACTAGATAGACCCCAAGGCTGAAGGCCGAAGGCTGAGGGGGTGAAAGGGTACAGGGGGGTCGTTCCGGCCAGCGCAGCGCTGGGCCATCCGGCCCATCTTCGGACGGGGTCGCGCTCCGCCCGTCATCAGCCGAAGGAAGGCGATCGCTCCACGGTGCCTGTGTCTGGACCGGACACTACGTAGTGGCTACGGAGGAGACGGAAGAGTGACCCCTGGTTCTGCCCGTCTGTGTCAGGTAAGGCAATGCTTAACTACCGACTACCCGTAGAAGACTAGAAGTAGAAGGAGCTGAAGATGGTTGCCTAAAGCCCTCATAGAAAGTCGACAGTCCTCCAGGCGAAGAGGGCGCGTGTGCGTGTCCGACACTGGCCGGGTTCCAACGCGCGCTAGCCCGGCCCGGTGGTCGGGCGGTCACGTATGGTACTGTAAGTATCATGTCCGCGCGGTGACAGTGACGGAAAGAGTTTTCCTCTGGCCCCGTGACCTGCCGCTCGTTGCGAGGGCGGTGGGCGTGACTGGCTTGCGGACTGGCTGGCTGGGATTGCGATTGTGCTGCTTTGTGCTTTGATGCTGTTTGCTGCTGCTGCTGCTGCTGCTGTTGCTGTTGCTGGAGCTTTCTTACCTCTTGAGTGCTGCCCTGCTGCTTGACCCCTCCTGAAAATCCCTCATACATCACCCCATCAGCCATCGCCTCTCCGCCCCCCCCCTTCCCTTCAGCTCCGGCCCCCCATCTGGTCCATCCTGGTTTTCTCCCACACCGGTCCATTCCACGCACTAAGCGGCCAGCCCGTCTCAGAGCAAGCCTGCCTGCCTGCCTGCCTGCCTGCCTGCCTGTCTTCTGGTCCCTCCCTCCCTTCCACCACCATCCACCCCCTCTGCTTCCCCTCTTTCCCCTCCTTTGTACCCGATACCGCATTATCTAATCCACGCCACTGTCATTGGACCACCCCGACCACTCCAATCCTTTGACTCAGATTCCCAGCCAAGCATGTCCGAAAGAGGCTCGTTCCGTGGTGGTGCCCGCGGCCGCGGCGGAGGTTACGACCGGGCTGGCGGCCGTGGCGGCCACAAGGGTGGCGGTGCCGGTGGCGGTGCGCAACAGCAGCAGGAGAAGCCCAAGAAGGAGAACATCCTCGACCTGACCAAGTATATGGACAAGGAGGTGCGCGTCAAGTTCAACGGCGGACGTGAAGGTACGCCACTACTCACTTTTTCAATGGTTTATTTCCGTAGTTACTAATCTCTCCCAGTCACCGGTCTTCTCAAAGGATATGACCAGCTCATGAACCTGGTCCTGGACGATGTCAAGGAGGGCATGCGCGGTGAGTAGCCCTACCTCTACTTCTCCCCTCTACTCTCTACTTTCTCGTTTCATCGACTGACGAACCCAGATGACGAGGGCAACGAGAACACCCGCTCTCTTGGCCTGATTGTGGCCCGTGGCACCTTGATTGTCCTGATCTCGCCCGCCGACGGCAGCGAGGAAATCCCCAACCCCTTCGTGCAGCCGGAAGAGTAAGCCTATGGCCCACATGTACCAGCTAGATGGTGCCTGCGTGCTATGTCCGTTCGCGACCAGCCGTCTGGCGCACCCACGTCGAGAAGAGCGACGCTGGCTGCGCGGGGCGTGCCCCCAACCCTCCCGATTCAGATGGACAGTGGTGGTCGACGAGTCTTCTATCTGTTCATGACGTTGGACTCTTGCCGAGAGCTGGGGGATTGATTTCACTCTACGAAGACAGACGATGGAATGTATTATGTGCGCCATGAGCGTTGATCTGGATTGCATCGGATGGCATGCATATATCCACCCCCAGCAGAATTATCAACAAAACTACATGACTATTGATTCATGTCAGTTCCAGGCGTAGATTTACTCCGATTCGCATAGTTAGCTACCGACCATGACATCAGCGGATGTCGTCATGAACTTCCCAACTGACTCCCTCCCGCAATACCGTAGAGATGACAAAGATGGGACGACGGGCCTAGACCGCGCGTCTCTGGCAGCTTTCGGGTCTAGTCCGCATCATTCATTCATCAGATCGCCCGAGCTAAATATATCCCATCCTCTCCCACCGACATCCCACATTCCTGAATTCATACATACTCATACCCAATTCTCACACCTGTACAGTGTACATGTTTTGTCCCCGACCTGCGACACAACAGGATCCGATACAATGAAACTCCCCCTCTGGCCCATCGCGGCCCTCCCCCTCTCCTCCGCCCTCCTCCCACCCCATCAGGAACCCCTCAGCGCGGACTTGATCTCCAGCTCCATCTCCAACTCTAACCTCGACCTCGACCTCGACCTCGACAGCCTCACCACCTCCCTCGCCTCTGCCCTCCACCACACTAATGCCAATGCCAATGCCAATGCCCAGCCCTCCCCCCTCAACCACATCCCAGACAAAGACAAAACCGACCACCCCGCCAAGCCAAAACTACCAAACCACCTCCTCCCACCTCCCTTCCGCCATCCCCCTCCACCCCCATACCACCGCCACCCGCCCTCCAACAAGACCCTCTACGACCTCATCACATCCGACCCGGACACCACCATCCTATCCCAGCTCATCCACACAGATACCCAGCTCATTGACCTCCTGAACGCAACAACCACAAACCTCACCTTCTTCGCCCCGACAGACCACGCCTTCCGGTCCCTCCTCCACGGCCACGCATCATCCAGCCCAGAAGAAGAAGAACAACACCAACAACACCACCACCCCAAACGCAGAACCGGACGCGGACCCAGACCCGGACAACACCCCCAATCCTCGGACCTCATCCGCACGGTCCTGAAATACCACATCGTGCCGGCCGTGTACACCCCCGCGGAGATCTTCCTCGCACGTGTCCTTCCGACTCTGGCTTCCCTTACCCAAAGTCAGAGTCAGAGTCAGAGTCAGACCCAGACCCAGACCCAGGACCTCAATTCCAAACCCAACCCCCTCTCCCCTGACCCCCAAAGCCCCAAGCACGCCAAATCCAACCATGCAATCCATGACCACCAAATCCAATGTATAACCACCCACCGCACAAAACACTCCCTCGCCCTAAACGGGGACATTCCGTTACTTACGCCCGAAAAGCGCTCTTTAAATGGCCTTCTCTACCATATTGATCGGGTACTCTTTCCGGCGTCTCGGAGTGAGGATTATGCTTACTCTATATCATAAAGAAGTTTATATATGTGCTTGAAATAGATTGAGCTTGATCGTGGGTTTAAATCAATGGTTGCTGGATGTGATGGTTTATGGCAGAGGAGGGGTGGCGAGGGAAGGTTAGCGTGATTGGGCGTGGCATGAGTGGTGAGGATGAAGGGTGTTTTTTTTGGGATGTTGTTGAGGAAAAGGGCTGATGGGTGGGTTTAGCTAGGCGTGAGGGGGTTGAGTTAGTGGGTTTATGAGTGGGGGGGGGGGGTCTGAGGGAAGAATGAGGTTCATGGGGAGAGAGCAGAGGAGTAGATGGATGGCGATGATGATGATGATGATGACGATATCCACGACAAGGAGTTACAAACAGCAATGGACTGATTATTGGGATGCACATGTCAAGTCCTCAACAAAGGGATGTATGTATAGAGAGCACTACCAAGCTTAACTAAATGGCAACTTGATATATTCTAGCTATCTCTCTGTATACCCGTCACAAAGACGGTTGAAGGGACGGTGTGATATAACGGGGCCGCAGGCAAGCAAGCAACTACCTCGTATAGATGACCCTAACCCAAGTATCACCCAACAAGTAGATCCAAACGGATCAGCAAATGCACACACACACACACACACAAGGTATTGTTCCTCGGGAGACATGTCTCATCGTGAAACTCATGAAACTGAATGAAATGGAATTCTTTCCAACGTATATACGCCCATTGGCGCTTAGTGAAGCCTTCGGCCCGCTGGCTTCAGCAGCGCTTGGAAGGACGATTCGAGAGCTTTCTTAAGCTCCTTGTAGCTGACCACGAAGCAACTCTGCTCGTCCCGGCTCACGAGGGTGACTTTCTCGTCTGAGCCCGCGTCCAGCTTGTTTAGGCACGTTAGCACGTGACCGAGATCAACCACCGGGTCACCCTGCGCGTCCACCTGGTGGAAAACGTAGTCCCGGAAGATTTTCAGGAAGTAGCGCTCTCCGTTCTCGGACCACTGCCGGTCGTGCTCGTACTCCGGTCGCTCGTTCACTAGGTTCAGCTTCGTCATAAGTCGCACGATACGTCCGTTCTCCAGCTCGCGGCTGAGGTCCGACGTGAGCTGGTCGTCCATATGCAGTGCAGAGTCGAAAGTCGACATTAACTGCGACGAGATGGCCGTAATGAACATGTCAATATTCCTCTCGTCTTTCTGCAGCCCGTTCAGAAGCCAGAAGACCGATGTCTTTAGCTGCGGAGTGTATGCGCGGGTGAAATGATCCATCGCCTTCGCAGGGTTGTGCATCACTCCAGGCTGGTTCGCCCCCAGCGTGACAATCAGCTGGCCGAAGTTGACCAGATCCTGACGCTGGAGTTCGGCAACCGAGCGTTGCGTGTCGAATTGGACAACATCCATGATCGCGCAAGCATTCAAGCGAACGCGGTTCCGCCCCGTCAGAAGAATCTTGCTAGGGTCGATGATCCGCGCGGCGAGTCCGTTGCTGTGGATGGCTTTAATACCATTGGCGATCTGGGTCATATAGCCCCAAAGAACCTGTTCTGGAATGGGCGCAATATTGGGACGGCCCTGGAACCGGTTTCCAGCGCCAAGGTGCTGCTCTGCCAGCGTCTTCGATAGGGGATGGTAGTCAGTGACAAAGATCAACGAGCTGTCCTGGAAACTACGACTGGTAAATGCATCATGGACCGTCACCACACTGCCGCTGTAGACTCGTTTCCAGGCTTGCACAGAGCGGATGGCTTTCTCGTTCGTCAACCGGAAACCTACGGGTACAATTAGTATGGTTCACATAAACACGGCACTACCAAATCATACCCTCAAGCCTCCGAAGAGCATAGAAATTCCCATCCTTGCTGGACTGGGCTTTGTACACCCAGCTGGGGAATCCAAAAATGGTAGCGTTCTTCTGATGGTTGAGATCCAGCGGGACAAGAGAGTGAAAATAATCAACCTGAGCAGGTAGCTGGGTATCTAGCTTGGAGTTAGCGTTTAAGAGACTCGAAAGAGCTACAATATAACATACTGGGAAGGGTCTGCAACGTAGCCGCCGCCTTCTTCTGCAGATCCTCTCGGCAGTCATTGGGAAGGAAAAAGTCGTGCGCATTCCGCTGGTAGGCCAGAATATTTTGACTATGAGGCCCAATGGGAGCGTACATGTGATATTGAACCTGTTTGATGTTCGTGAGACTCGAAATCCAAAAGAGGCCTGGGCGACTTACAGGTTGCTGGAAACCGGACTGGTTGGCAAAGAAAGCCCCGTTCAGCGCCGCAGCAGTGTCATGTGAGAAGGGGTTGGCTTGCACCGGACCGACAGCGCTGGCCGCAGAAAGGGGGTTCGGAGCTGTGACGAAAGGATCGAAGGCACTCGTAGAGGGGACTCCGGCGCTGCCGTTTCCTTGCAAGGAAGCCTAACAATCTTATCAGCCAATCTGCGCTCAAAGCTGCATTGAAAAAAAAAAAAAAAAAAAAAAAAAAACGAAATATCGGGACGGATCAGCCTTACCATGTGGGAGGTATCAAAGCCCTGAGGCACAAATTCCTGTACTTCTGCCACAGACCAGTCAGGGGTCATCGTGCCGGGGCGGGTAGTAGGGGTGCTGGAGTTGGATCCTGGTTTTGATCAGAGATGGCTGGCTTTCGCATTCCGAAGCCGGTGCAACGTACGTGAGGATATACTCCTGGGTTGGAAGGGAGCTGCGTTGGCAGCTTTCGGTGATATTGTTGCCATTTTCTTCATTGTTGCTGATGAAGTGGTGGGGGACGACCCGTTTGAGGATAGGATAGACGGCGTAAAGCTCGGGGAGTCGACATTCAGTCGCTTCTTATTGCTGCCAAACTGTAAGCCGTGGTCCATTCTATCATTCCATGCTGCCAGCCCGTCTTTCCCCAGTTTGGGTGTGCCAACCTGTCTGTTTGATATGCGTTGTTTATTTTATGTGGGTCGTGGTTGAAGGCGCATCCTTTCAGTCACAGAACGGTTAGATGAATCCCAGCGAGTAGTGTATATCAATTAATGGGGAAGAGATAGCTCGGCACCTTTATCTTCATATCGACACCGACCATAGATGGTTACGTTGCGACAAAGGGTATCTTTCGCGTTTTCTAGAAGGTCAGGAGGCGGAAATGTCAGTAATGATGCCCGCAAGCCATGAATCGATAAGAACTTGAACTTGGCACGCGTGTTGGCCCTCTCGACCAATCTGGGACGCAGCTGGAGAATCGAACTAACCTCGGGCCTTCATTTTCGGCGACCCCGTCCCCCGACGGGCGTCGTCCAGCGTAGCAGACTTCGTGGAGGTGGAAGCCATGGTATCTCGTTATCCCAGTTCGGCGCGGATCAGCGTAGAGGTATGTCCATTGAGCCAGGGCAAAGAAAAACCGGGCGACCAAAGATATCTAGAGGAAACCACATTCCTCTAGAAGAGCCCGACGAGTATTCCGACGCGAAAGACTCACTCGAAGAGTCGACGAGGCGATGATCGCGGAGGGTAGGGGGGTGGTCCGGTACAGCCCAGGGCAGCGGGTGGATGGTGGGATTGTGTGTGGGCGCCTTCCGCGCGGGCAGGAGGTGATAGATGGCAGAATCAATCGATGGATGACTGGCGGTCCGGAGACAAAAGCAAGCCAGTAGGTCATGCCATGGATGGGGGTTGGGGTTGGGATGGGAGGCAGCAAAGACCGCAAGGCAGCATCCGAACCAAGGGCGCGCGGGGAGGAGAGGAGGGGGGCTCAAGGAACGGGCGGCCTGCGTTGACCTCCGTAGTCTGTCCGACACGTGCACGGGCCACGCTCGGCGTCAAGCGCGTCTGGCGGCGTGACTTCACTCGGAGCGGGAGGCCAGCTAGCTCACTGTTACATACTGCACTGAGCGAGCTACCCCGGTGCTTGCTCCTTTCTCCTCCCTCCTTATCCTCCCCTGCTATCTAGTAGCATCCTGCTGGAGACTTAGTCCCTGCGCCACTTATTACTCTCATCATATCTCCGCACACCTCTCGACTCCGTCCTCCCCCTCAGCCTCGTGCTTGCTGGGTTCCCGCCGCCCCCCGGTTACCGCATCCCGGACGCCGATCTCGCTGGTCTACGGTAGTAACACCACAATCCCCCCCGCATGGGCGAGAGCTTCAATTGACAATGTCCTCGTCCGGGCTGGATATCGCCGAGCTCTCTGACAGCGAGAGATCGGCCCTTGAGACCTATACTGCTGTCACTGGCCAGGAGCACTCTGAGGCAATTCCTTTGTTGCGCCGCTCCCAATGGAACGTGCAGGTAGGTTTTCATGTTTCTCCCGCCGATGCCAGAGGCCCGGGAAATACTGACAGGACTTCCAGATTGCAATCTCCAAGTTCTTTGACGGTGAAGGACCGGACCCCGTGGAAGAAGCTCGTGCCGCGCTCGATACCCCTCCCCCGCGACCCAGCCGGCAGACCCAAAACCTTCTGAGCGATGACATTGCTGCGCAGTTTGCCCCTAATACCACCCGTTCGGCGGAGCCGGCACCCCGGATATCCACTCAGTCGGGGGATCAATCGGTCTACAGGCCGCCTTTCATACTAGCTATTCTGTTTACACCATTCAACCTTCTCTACCGGATACTGTACAGCTCCTTCCGCCTATTTGGTACCCTCTTCCCGTTCCTCCCTCGATTATTCAACACGACCGCAAACCCGGCGCTGCAGGGGTCTCGGCGAAATACCAATGGCCGCCGGCCCTTGGGCCCGAAAGACACCGCCGCCCGCTTCATTCGCGAATTCGAGGAGGAATATGGCTCCAATTCGATCGGGTTCCTCGAGAACGGATACAACATGGCTTTGGAAATGGCTCACCGGGATCTCAAGCTCCTCTTGATTGTCCTTCTTGCCCCCGAACATGATGATACGAATGGCTGGGTTCGAGACACGCTTCTTTCCCGGGAAGTGACGGCCTTCATCAACGAGCCACAGAACGGCATACTGGTCTGGGGAGGAAATGTCCAAGATTCCGAGGCGTACCAGGTTTCCAATTCCCTCCGGTGCACTAAATTCCCCTTCGCTGCAGCGATAGTACACTCACCCGGTGTGTCTTCCTCGGCCATGTCGGTGGTCTCGAGGATATCCGGCACGACATCCCCGGCGGAATTTGTAGAGAAGCTCCGGTCAGCTATCTCTCAGAACCAAGAACCTCTCGAGCGGATCCGGGCCACGCGGGCTGAACAACAGGCCTCGCGCAGCCTCCGGGAGCAACAGGACTCGGCCTACGAGCGCTCACTGGCGATTGATCGGGAGCGCGCGAGGCAGAGGCGGGAGGCGGAAGCGGCCCGACAGAGAGAAGAGCAGGAGGCGGCTGAGCGTCAAGCGGCTGAAGAGAAGCGGATCCACGACCTCCAGCAATGGAAACAATGGCGGTCACAGTCCATCTCGGAAGAGCCAGGCCAGGAGGTCAAGGATGCCGTTCGCATCAGCGTTCGACTGCCTTCTGGGGAACGTGTGATCCGTAAGTTTGCACCGGAGGCCTCTCTTGATGAGCTCTACGCGTTTGTCGAATGCTACGATATCCTGAAAGAGCCATCGGAGAAGGCTGCCGCTGCAGAGAAACCGGAGGGGTTCGAACATCAGTATGGGTTCCGACTGGTTTCACCCATGCCGCGGGTTGTGTACGAAGTGGATGCTGGGGGCTCCATTCGGGACAAGATCGGCCGAGGAGGGAATCTTCTGGTCGAGCCGATCGATGACGAAAGCGACGAGGAGGACGAGGAAGAGTCGTAAGAGACGAGGGCGTACATGTACTTGTATCGATCAACATCATGACTGTATGGCAGAGAATGGACCTGCTCGGAAATGGCTCGCCAAAATTTCCTCAGGCCTACTACTAAATAATATGAATCAATTACCATGAAAATACTGAGGGAGGGTGCTATGATCGGATGACACGATAATCCTAAGGAACGGAGGCCCCGTGCGCAGGTTGCTATCAAACTTACAGTTTCACCCGTCCACCTGCAACATCTATTTCCAGCTTACTGCTAGCCGCAGGGGGGGAGCAATCATGTGCCATCAGAACGCGGAAACATATCGATGAGAAAGCCGCCCGGAGCCTGAGCCATCCGAAGGCAGAACCCCACGATTGGGTCCTCCCGTGCGCTCGCTTCCTTGCTACCTGGGTAGATAAGTCATAATGAGTCACTTTGAATGCTTATGAGTAACGCACACCTTACCATGGACACGTATGTAAAAAAAATTGCTGACGACAACCAGATTGGACACGATGGCAGGAGTGCACTGACAGGCGTCCAGCCAAGATATTTTGTACAGTATTACTTCAAAGATGCGCAATCTATTTCTTCATCGGGATGGAATAGGGCCGGATCACACCCCCTCAATACTGCGTAAGGCAGGTGGTCGACCTGACCTACTGTAGAGAGTATATTTAGCGAGAACCGATACAGGGGGGTGATCTCCAGACTCCAGAGTGCAGTGCAGAGTGCCAGCTGGCCAGCAAGGAACTCCTGGAGGAGGAACCTCGAGAGGTAAGGTTCGAGCCAGGTTGGGATCTTCACTCATCCCGCTGTGGGCTCGCTGGGTACCCCCGTAGTACGTAGTGGATTAGCTCACAGTACGGAGGAGTACCGTGATACTAGTACAATCGCGCATCCAAGTATACCACAGTCGAGGACGCGGAAGTCGTGGGTAGATAGTTACTCCGTATGTACTTTAGGGTTGTGTGATGTGACACAGGAATGTTGATTCGGTGGTGTCGGGCGCATCGAAATCTTCTAGATACTCCGTAGCGAACACAGATTCCTCGGCATGCGTGTTTCAGATCGTGAATGCCAGGGTTCAACGCAGTACTACCCGATCTGTCTATGGCAGCTACACGTACTTACTCTACGGAGTACACCTGCTGCGACATCCCGAGTTGTTTGGAGGGTGGAAGAGGGGGGAGAAGAAGTGCATTAGATCGCAATGCGCATGAATAGCTGAGTCAACCGGGAGATGCCCCGTGGATAAGAGAGTGGGATCTGTACTGCCTAGATCTCTCGGATCCCTTGTCCTCCGATACGGTACTGTAAAGGGGGGAAACCAGGGCAAAATAACCGGGTTCGGATGGCTGATGTCCCGTCCCACCTAGTCGGCTCCACCCACCGCTGCCATTCCTCTTTGGGACAATGAACGCTCAGCCGCCGAACCTCGTTTTCGCCACGTTTTGTCGAGCAAACGGAGTTGTCCTTCCATCAATACTAGATAGATACGATGTAGATACTGCCTAAGCACACGCCGCAACAGCGCAATGCCATTGCGTTTGTCCTCCGTCTGCAATGCAATAAGCCACGCTGTGCTGTGCAGATATCTAATCATCCTGCAAGGTCAGTGGGAATAATTGTCTGTTTATCGTTATATCGCTACCATCGGGGGATATGTGGTCCTTCTCCAGAACGGTAATGATCAATTTTGATGTATGGAGTACCATAGCCAAGAACCTCCCTGGGTCTCAGCAGTCAGCATGGAAAACCACTTGGATCTGGTGGAAGGCCTGCGCAATAAGCCGGGATGGATACGTCAAGACTGGGGGCCAGTCAGCGTCCCGCAATTCTCATGATAATCAATTAGGCAGTCACGATTGATTATTATTGACGGCGGGTGCTCAATATCCGTCCCCAGATGTGGCCGGACTTTGCAGCCATAGATATATCTCCGGAACGACAGTAGTAGGCCGGGACGCTGTGTATACCTAGATAGGTCAACTGCGTATTCCGTATCGCCGGGTTGAATACGCACGGAGGGTTGAAAGTACCGAGTGGGTCCTGCTTGGTCTCCAGCCGGATCCCGTCCATTCGTGGTCCCGATTCGTCCGTTCCGTTGCCCTTTGGGCCAAACTTCGACGCCATTATTTGGGGCCTGCAAAAAGTGTAAAAACGGGGAGAGCCCAGACTCTGTTGTCCACACTTGGCCCTTTTTTACCAACTCACTTTTTTTCTCCCCTGGGCTCTGGATACGTCGGTACGGCCATTACACGCTGACCCGCTCTGAGATACCATACGGGGTACGCCGAGCACCTACTAATCCAGGTACTCCCACTACTTTATCATTAGTGTCTGCCACCGATTTCTCCCCCCCTCCCCCCCCCCTCAAATATTACCCGTCACTCTTTGCGCCGCTATTATTACACCTTTTATATTTAATCATTTCCCTCTACCCGAGTCCCCGGATTGACCGGTGATCTCGTCTCGTTTTTGTTTAGCTACCCTTCGCATCCTCTTCTGATGCTTACGGCAACCCGTCATTAATATCCCCTGGCGCGGTCCGAGACAGCTCGTCTCGACCTCTAATCACCATGTCGCTTCTAGGCACCCTAAATCCTAATCTTAATCTCAACCAGTCCGTGGAATCCCGAGAGGTCCATGTGGACGAACATGCAGGCGAAGCAGCGGAGCAGGCTGCAGCGGTGAACGAAGGAACCGAGGAATTGACCCACGACGTTCACTCGGTGTACTCGACCCCCAACGAAGAAACCCAACAGGACGAAATATTCGAACATCTGGCCACCGAAGTCAGGTCGGCAACTAGCAGAGCCCGGAGGGAGCCCTGGAGCCGCCACACCAGCACATTCAGCACGGCCGAGACCGCCATGGAGGAGAAACGAGATGATACCAGTGAGGAGGCGGACGAAGAAGAGAAGGCCGCTGAGGAGGAAGTCCATCGTCTGGCACAGCAGTTGACTCGCCAATCGACTCGGTTTTCCACCACTGGCCACGCCGAAAACTCTTTCCTGGAGGCCAAGGAAGATTCGACCCTGAACCCGCATAGTGCGAATTTCAAGTCAAAGCACTGGATGAAGAACCTGTTGGCTTTGTCGTCTCGCGATCCCGAGAGGTACCCCAAGCGTGAGGCGGGTGTATCCTTCCAGAACCTCAGCATTCATGGTTTCGGTAGTCCCACGGATTATCAGAAGGATGTTTTCAACTCGGTGTTGCAGGTTGGTGCCCTCGTTCGCAAGATGACGGGCACGGGCAAGCAGAAGATTCAGATTCTCCGTGACTTCGATGGCCTCGTCAAGAGCGGTGAAATGTTGGTCGTCCTGGGTCGCCCTGGAAGTGGATGTACTACTTTCTTGAAAACCATTGCTGGTGAAATGAATGGTATCTACATGGACAAGAAGTCTCAACTCAACTACCAGGGTATTTCAGCCCAGCAGATGCGGAAGCAATTCAGGGGCGAAGCCATCTACACAGCCGAAACCGACGTTCACTTCCCTCAACTGACTGTCGGCGACACCCTCAAATTCGCCGCCCTTTCTCGTTGTCCCCGAAACCGCCTCCCTGGTGTGACGAAGGAGCAGTATGCCACTCACATGCGCGACGCTGTGATGGCTATGCTGGGTCTTTCGCATACCATCAACACTAAGGTCGGCAACGATTTCGTCCGTGGTGTCAGTGGTGGTGAACGGAAGCGTGTCAGTATCGCTGAAGCCACTCTCTGTGGAAGTCCTTTGCAATGCTGGGATAACAGTACCCGTGGTCTGGATAGTGCGAACGCGCTGGAATTCTGCAAGACTTTGAACCTGATGACCAAGTATGCCGGTGCTACTGTTGCTGTGGCTATCTACCAAGCTTCCCAGAGTGCGTACGATGTCTTCGATAAGGTGACGCTCTTGTATGAGGGCAGACAGATTTACTTTGGCCCCACCGATGAGGCCAAGGAGTTTTTCACCACCATGGGATTTGAGTGTCCCGACCGCCAAACCACCGCTGATTTCCTCACCTCACTTACCAGCCCATCCGAGCGTATTGTTAAGCCGGGCTTTGAGGGCAAGGTTCCGCGTACCCCTGACGAGTTTGCCGCTGCCTGGAAGAACAGTGAAGCGCATGCGAAATTGATCCGAGAAATTGCCGATTACAACAACCACTACACTCTTGGTGGTGAGTCGCTTGACAAGTTCATCGTCTCTCGCAAGGCTATGCAAGCGAAAAACCAGCGCGTCAAGTCGCCGTATACCATCTCTCTCTACGAGCAGGTCAAGCTTTGCTTGGTTCGAGGCTTCCAGCGACTCCAGGGTGATGCCAGTTTGACTATATCTCAGCTGGTCGGTAACTTTATTATGGCTTTGATTATCGGTAGCGTCTTCTACAATTTGCCGGCAGACACGTCCAGTTTCTATTCTCGTGGTGCTCTACTCTTCTTCGCCGTGTTGCTTAACGCCTTTTCCAGTGCTCTGGAGGTAAGTTCCGTACGGACAGATTCACTGAGATCGTGTTACTAACAGAAGTAATAGATCCTGACCCTCTACGCCCAACGTCCCATCGTCGAGAAGCAATCTCGCTACGCAATGTACCACCCGTTCGCCGAAGCTATCGCGTCGATGCTTTGTGACATGCCGTATAAGATCGTAAACGCCATCATTTTCAATCTTACGCTTTATTTCATGACCAATCTACGTCGCACACCAGGAGCTTTCTTCGTCTTCCTTGTGTTCTCTTTTCTCACGACCTTGACCATGTCTATGCTCTTCCGTACCCTGGCCTCTTCCTCACGCAGTCTTTCCCAGGCGTTGGTGCCTGCGGCTATCCTGATTCTGGGTCTGATCATCTACACTGGCTTTACTATCCCGACAAGATACATGCTTGGATGGTCCAGATGGATGAATTATATTGACCCAATCGCCTACGGCTTCGAGAGCTTGATGGTTAACGAATTCCATGACCGGGTATTCCCATGCGCCACGACGGATTTGGTTCCCAACTACTCTGACGTTTCCATCGAGTACAAGATCTGTTCCACAGTTGGCGCGGTTGCTGGATCCACGGTTGTTCAGGGTGACGCATATCTTCACAAGAGTTTCCAGTACTACGACAGCCACAAGTGGCGGAACCTGGGTATCATGATTGCCTTCATGATCTTCTTTATGACCACTCACCTGCTCACCACTGAGTACATCTCAGAAATCAAGTCCAAGGGCGAAGTGTTGCTTTTCCGCCGTGGTCACAACGAGCTTGCGACTGATGATGTGGAGACAAGCCAGCAAGTCTCCGCAGGCGACAAGATGGACCAGTCCGGTCCTCGTGAAACAGCTGCTATCCAGAGACAAGAGGCCATCTTCCACTGGCAGGATGTGTGCTACGACATCAAGATCAAGGGCGAGCCCCGGCGTATTCTAGACCACGTCGATGGCTGGGTTAAGCCTGGAACCTGTACTGCTCTGATGGTAAGCTCCCATTGCACACGTATTGTGTTGATTTACTGATTATCCTTCTAGGGTGTTTCTGGCGCTGGTAAAACCACGCTTCTGGACGTTCTTGCTACTCGTGTGACCATGGGTGTGGTGACTGGTGAAATGTTGGTTGACGGTCGCCCAAGAGATCAGTCCTTCCAGCGCAAGACCGGATATGTGCAGCAACAAGATCTTCATCTCCACACCACTACCGTCCGTGAGGCTTTGCGTTTCAGCGCCATTCTTCGTCAGCCTGCCCATGTCAGCCGCCAGGAGAAGCTCGATTACGTTGAAGAGGTCATCAAACTACTTGGTATGGAGGCATACGCGGACGCCGTTGTCGGTGTTCCTGGTGAAGGTTAGCCATCCTTGTATTCTTTCATATCGCAAAGCTAATCCAGCATAGGTCTCAACGTCGAACAACGCAAGCGTCTTACCATTGGAGTCGAATTGGCAGCCAAGCCTCAACTGCTTCTGTTCCTCGACGAGCCCACTTCCGGTCTTGACAGTCAAACATCCTGGTCTATTCTTGATCTTATCGACACCCTGACCAAGCACGGCCAGGCGATTCTTTGCACCATCCACCAACCCTCCGCTATGCTCTTCCAACGGTTTGATCGCTTGTTGTTCCTCGCTAAAGGCGGTAAAACCGTCTACTTTGGCGAGATCGGTGATAAGTCGTCGACCCTTGCTAGCTACTTCGAAAGAAACGGCGCCCCGAAACTGCCGGCTGATGCCAACCCGGCCGAATGGATGCTTGAGGTTATTGGTGCTGCTCCTGGATCGCACAGTGATGTCGACTGGCCCGCTGCTTGGCGCGAAAGTGCCGAGCGTCAAGGCGTGCTTGACCACCTTGCTGAGCTCAAGTCCACTCTTTCGCAGAAGCCGGTTGATGCCTCCAAGGCTGATCCTGGCGAGCTCAATGAATTTGCTGCCCCCTTCTCCGTGCAGTTGCGGGAGTGCTTGCTCCGCGTTTTCTCTCAGTATTGGAGAAGCCCGGTGTATATCTACTCGAAGATCGCTCTTTGCGTACTCACCGCGCTTTACATCGGATTCTCCTTTTTCAAGGCCAAGAACAGTGCACAGGGTCTCCAGAACCAGATGTTCAGTATTTTCATGCTGATGACTATCTTCGGTAACCTCGTTCAGCAAATCCTACCTAACTTCTGCACTCAGCGTTCGCTGTACGAAGCTCGTGAGAGGCCTTCCAAGTCCTACTCCTGGCAGGCTTTCATGACTGCCAATATCATTGTTGAGCTTCCATGGAACGCGCTCATGAGTGTTCTTATCTTTGTTTGCTGGTACTACCCCATCGGCTTGTATGGGAATGCCGAGCCAACCCACGCTGTTCACGAGCGTGGTGCCCTGATGTTCCTGCTGATCCTGTCCTTCCTTCTCTTCACCTCTACGTTCGCGCACATGATCATCGCTGGTATCGAGCTCGCAGAAACAGGTGGTAACATCGCTAATCTGCTGTTCTCCCTGTGTCTGATCTTCTGTGGTGTTCTGGCTACTCCTGCGACACTCCCTGGCTTCTGGATCTTCATGTACCGCGTGTCGCCATTTACCTACCTGGTTTCGGGCATGTTATCCACCGGTGTATCGGGCACGACCGCCGTCTGCGAAGCAGTGGAATACCTTCAGTTTACCCCGCCTCCTAACAGCACGTGCTCGAGCTACATGGCCGACTACATCAACAGCTACGGCGGATACCTCGAGGATCCCAGCTCCACCAGCTCCTGCTCCTTCTGCTCGATCTCCAGCACCGACACCTTCTTGGCGGAGGTGAGCAGCTACTTCGACCAGGCATGGCGCAACTTCGGCCTGATGTGGGTGTACATCATCTTCAACATCTTCGCCGCCGTGGGCATTTACTGGCTGGCTCGTGTGCCCAAGACCCCCAAGACCGAGACCCCGAAGGACAAGAAGGGCTCCTCTAAAGCATAAGAGCCTTACTTCATTTCATCTTTCCTTTCTTTGACTTCCCCCCTGGACATATGCTTGCATGCCTGTTTAATGTATTGATTGGACTCTGGACATATATAGCGGCTGGATTCTTCATGTAATGGACATTTATGTATGGGCTTTTTGTTTTCCTTTTCGCTTCAGCGTCTTGATGAACGCTTGGTTGGATATTAGAGTTCTTCCTCTTCTTTCCTTTTTCATTTTTATCTCCTTTTTTTCCCCCCTCTCATCTCATCCCTCCTCTTCTCTTCTCTACTCTTCGCACTTGGCTCCTTTCATTGCTGAAAACTGCAGATATGCATGCATACATTCATGTACGTACATAAAATCTAGAACTAGAATTATCAGATCGGTGGGGTAGAAACCCCAATTGACATTTTCAAATACTTTATTTACTTGACATCTCCTCTTTTAAATTTATCAATACTAGTTAGTACGGGGTAGTACCCCGAGGAAAACACAGAACATATCCATGCTTCAGTGACACCAACACAACATGATAGCCCAACCCAACCCAACCAACACATAAAGCAGCAACCATCCCCCAAAGAAACTTATTGAAAACGTGCAAAATAAAAATAAAAATAAATAAATAAATAAATAAAAGTAATAGTATGGATCCTTAATAACAGCCCCCCTCTCCACCCCTCCCTCCAATTTAATCTCCCACCCAGTACTACTATGTGGTACCCACACTAACCGACTCATCATAGCGCTATCTATCTATCTATCTATCTATCTAGTATCTATCTATATCTTCTAGGAACCCAGAATCAACCCACCACAAGAAACCAAGGAAAGAAGAATGAATAAAAAAAAAAGGAAAAATCCTTAAGCGCCCGCCCGCAACCCGTAACTAGCCTTCCCTCCAGCCTCTCTCTCCCTCCAACCTCCAACCCAAACAACCCCTACCCGTACCCGTGTCAAGCCAAGCTTAGCTTCTCCAATCCCAAACCTAGTTAACTAAAAAAAAAAAAAAAGGAAGGAACCACGTAACCGCCCGCCCAGCCCGCCCGTCACCCACAGCCACAGCCACAGAACCAGGACTCGATGAAACTCAGAACTCTCAACTCAGGAGTGACGACTGACGACTGACGACTGACGAGTCAATAGACTACGATGGACTAGCGCGGAGGGGTGGGAGGGGTGGTTAGCGCCGCGGCTCCGAGATTAGACTGCCACTGGACGGGAATAATTGGATTTGGGGCCAGGGGATTAATTAATTAGTGGGCTCGCTACTAGATATTTATCTAGATTTTATCTAACTACTTTAGTGGTTGGGCTGGTGTGCTACTATAGTGGGTCTACGTACCTAGTGCAGCCCGCATGAAGATGCTATTTTGGGATTTTGCTTACTTGCTTACTACTTACTTACTTGCAGGCAGACAGGCAGGAAGGCAGTGTGCATATGCAGTGGAATAGTAGTATAATAATAGAGCCAAGCACACATACCTAGCACATATAATACATACAGGAACTATGAATGATGGGGCGGCTATGCAAGTACTTTGTACAGTAACCATTCACTCGGTGTTTAAATTAATTATTTCATCGCTGTCCGGGTATTTATGTGTTGCGCAGCTGAATCCATGTCTCTCTTACTTACCGAGAAGGGAGGGGGGGGGGGGGGGGGGTAGATTTTTTCCTCAAGCCAAGACATCTAGAGCAGTCGGGACTATGATAATGTTGTATCTGAGATCTTTGTCTCGTAGTCATTATTGATGTAATGACGCAATGACTGTGGTTGGGTTGTATTTGAAGCTTATTGTGCTAGATGCAACAATCCCTTGTAACTGTTTCATTGTTGGGCGGGGGGGGGGGGGAACATGGCCGACTTACTACTTACTGACGACATTGTATCAGGGGATGGGGGAGTGGTGACTCAACTCAAGTCTTGGGTTAGAATACAGGATGGAATAGAAGAGGTCTTGGGATGAGAATATGTCATTTGCTATACCGAATGGTTCTCTGGTATGTGTGTGTGTGTGTGGGGGGGGGGGGGTGGTTGAGTCATGTCGCATCGGAAGTAAGACACCCGACAGTAATGTGACCTGGGTGAATGCATGATTCAAGACTGACATGCATACATGCTACAGGGCGGCGCGTAATACTTCAATCTATGTGGTCCGGGTTATTATAGTATCATTAGGGGCGGGAGAATTATCTATCATTTTTCCCGTAGAAGAAGAGGGATGGATGAATGGATGGGCAAACAGTGCTTTGCTTGCCTACTATGCTGTATACTATCGGGTCTCAAATCCACATACTTGTACTCGTACCATCGTGCCAATACCAATACCAATACCAATCAACAAGAGACGGTTTGCCAGGATAGGTCAAACTAATAGAAAGAGATTTAATATACAACAGAGAAAACGAAGAAAGGATCGTAAAGAAGAAGAATTTTGAACAGGAAGAAAGGGATGAAAAAGGAAGAAAAAGAAGAAGGAAATAAAGATATGGCAGGGTAAGGTAAAGGGTGTGCAAGGCTGGGGTGACCAAAGGAAAAACGCGAGCGATTATACATCGCTATCTACCATGTAAAGGCTTCTTCAGCGAAATCAACCACAGCGCCTTTCCCGATATTCTTCCGCGCTGCAGCACGCACTTCGTCTGCAAATGCACCGGGTCCGCAGACCGAAACAATGGTCGCTCCGACGCGCTGCGGGATCACCTCGTCGAGAACCACGTCGGGTCGACACCGACCCGGGAACATCTGAACCGTGGCGCTCGGCGACACGATCTCGCGGCTGCTTTTGGGCTTGGACACGAACAGCTTGATTGTGAGAATCTCGCGACGCGACGGAAGCCGCAGGATCTGGTCCATCCATTCGCGTACCCAGGCCAGATGCTCTGTGCTGCGGACAGACCAGATGAGGTAGATTTTCTGGGTGGCGACGCGACCCTCCGAGGAGCGGAGGATCAAGTCACGGACGTATAGCATGTGATGCGTGATGCCCGCACCGGCTGAGAAAAGCACCGCTGTGCCGTAGCTGCCCATGTTGCATGCGTGGGACGCATACGGGCCCTCGATGAGTCCCGAGGTGTAGAGGGTTTGACCGGGAGACATGAGGGCTTTATTGTACAGCTTGCGCGTCATGCCTTGTTGGGCACCGATGATGAGGGAAACTGATGTCGGTTCTTGGATGTCTCTCATGTATCCCTCGAAATCTTTGATGGGCTGCTTTTCCAGGAATGCGGGATCCATGAGACCTGGATCCTTCTCCGTGCACGAAGCCGGAGTCACACAGTTGTTTGGCTCCACCCAAGCGACAGAGAAAGGATGCGACATCCACATTGCGATGCTTGGGATGTAGGCATAGACATGGCTGCCGGGACTGATGCGGACGCGCTTGGGTAGGTGAAAGGTCACCCGACAGGCCTCCCCGGGAAGAGCCTCCACGACAAGTCGTGTAGATCCCCTTCGTGGCGAGATATTCAGGTACAAGAGCCGGAAGAGGCGAGTGGTTCTTTCCAAGAGCCATATCAGACCAATGGCAATGACCCAGGGCTTCTGCGGGAGATCGTCTAAATCCAGGTGCATCAAGACACCGAGGTACGCCAGGAAAGCAGCGAGCTGGTGAATGTGTAGGAAGGTCTCGTAAAAGGCATGTCGGACTGGGGACGGCGAGTGGAGGCCCAGAGTGACCATCGCGCAAGTACCCAGCAAGCCCCAGGTGAAGAACGGAGTCGTACGTAGGCGCTCAAGCATGTTGGCAAAACTGACCTCGTCGCACGCATTTACCGCCCATGCGGCCGTGTGCACAACACTCTCCAGCACAACTATGCGACCTAGCCACCGATGCAGAAGATTGTATGTATCGAAGCTCACGTGCAATAGAGGGATCAACGGGTTGTTGCGGCCCGCGAGGAGGAAAAGAGGCACCATGTTCAAGACTGCCAATGTTCCAGAGCGCCCGCGTAGTTCGGCAACAAGGGCTGCCTTGACGTTGGCATTGTAATCGAGGATGGTGCAGTAGGCAACCTGACTGGCGAAGTACAAGAAGATCAGGATAACCTGAAATCTGGAAGGCAAGGTGCCCACATTGATCGCGGATGAGAGCTGGATTTCTCGGTTGTGTCTTTTCCTGCCCAGGGGCGAGTACAGCAGATGCTTCTTGATATTTGCCCAGGCAGATGATACCTCAATGCTCCAAAAGGTTTGCTGTTTCCTGCTTGCCGTCAAGGAAGTGATGAGTCGGAGATAGGAGTGACTGATCTGTGCGATGCGTCCGCAAAAGACGACCATGGCGACGAATATCAAGGACGAAAAGATGATCCGCGAGAACAGAACATCTCGGGGTACGTCGACTCCATTCAACCCTCTGGAGTATTCATAGACATAAGTAATGTTTATCCCATAGCCTCGTGGGGTGATACGCTGGTGAACGTCGTCCATTGGTAACAGGGACCTCCTACGGCCCAGCGTAGCACGAAGTTATTCGGGACGATGGCGAACGGATAAACAGAAGTCAACACAGTCGTCGTATGGGGCCGTGGTCCCGGCAAATTCCTGGCCGTCAGGGTTTCCAATTTTAACCTGGCCAGAATCCCGTATGACGCACGGATCTAATGGCAGGGGAACGACAAGAATGTGGGGATGGGGGCGTTGAGTCCAAGGACTCTCAGACGACAGGGTTCACAGCAACAGCACCAGCAACAGCAACAGCAGCGCAGTCAGAGCAGAGGCCTTGGAATCGTTCTGACCTCAAGGCGAGGAGGGCTATTAGATGCCTTCTTCCTTAGATAAGTTCTTATAGAAACCGTTCGGATCAGGCGATGCAAACGGTCAAGTTGCTCCACCGGTATGTGCAAATGACTAAGACGTCGTCACGAGCGATTGCGGCTAGAAAAGCCGAAGAATGTGGGAAACACCGTACAGAGCAGGGAATCGGATGAGTTGGATCTTGGTTGCACTCCATCTTTAGTCATTACCAGTGTCTTGAGTGGGGGGCCAGCCTTCGAATATCACTTACCTCCACTTTCCTACATGCATGATATAAGCAACGGGATCGAGCAAGGGGACGGTAGACGCACAGCGTCGTAAATGATTGGACAGCTCAAAAGAGAAAGAGAGAGAGAGAAAAAAAAAACAGGATCCTTGAAGAAGTTGACGTCTACTCTTGTAGAAAGAAAGTAATTGTCTACACCAACAACGAATGATGTTTGAAGCAAAGAATGATCGGCAGCGTCACAAGAAAACAAGACAAAGGACGAATGCCTTGAATCGAGTAACACAATGGTCAACGTTCTGAAACAAAGAACAAAGAATGAATAGGCTGGTGCACAACGAAAGAACAACTACCAGCCAGCTGGCCAAGAGAAGTGAATGTGATACCAAAGGAGAGAAAAGGGAAATGATAAACGGATCCCAAGATAAAAACTGAAGAAAGATTCCCTGTCACCAGAAAAGATCCACGGCACCGCAAGAACTTTAAGCGAAAAGGCAAGTCCGCTGCGGATCATGCCTGCGAGCATACAGCAGAGAGCAGGCCAAAAGGGACCAATGGCCAGCTCCATAAATCTTGCTAGCAAGCAATAATGGCGTGGTCCTGGAGGGGGGAAGGGGGGGGGGAGGGTTCGGCCTAAGCGCCAAGACAGGCGTCTGCGCTCGGCCTTGAACCCAGTGAAAGATCCCTACTGTCACCGTGAAGGAGGCATCGTCGTTTCCGATAAAGATGGAGAACTGGGAGGTCTCTGGGCTTGGCTGGTGTTTAGCGCTCTTGGCCCCGGTTGACTATTCAGCAAGCGCGGAAACGGCCGCTTGCAGGAAGTTGGACCAGGCCCGACCGAGGGCGTAGCGGTAGCGCAGGCCCTGGGAATCAACCCAGCAGCTACCACCACCCACCACCCACCACTACCACCACCACCACCTTGCGAGGGATTCAAGCCATGCCGCTTTCCCAGCCAGCCAGTTGTGCCACCTACGTATTGAGATAGCCGCTGCCGAGCAGCTGTCCATCCTGTAGTATTGGCTACCTGACTGGCTCTGCGCGTTTCATGTGGTGCAATCCCGACTGAAACGACCGTCCCGTATTGGCCGTGACTGGCATGCTAAGCAGCAGCGACGGCCCACCGCAAACCCACCGAGGCAGCGACAGCACCGTTCTGTTGAAAGGTCAGTTAGAGGCACAATGAAGATGAACCTGCAGGGGAGGAAACGTTCAGACGGGTGTTCCTGTCATCTTTCCCGGGTCTCATGGTGAAACAAGGCTGCCCAGGAACTCGGAGGCAAAGCGGGCATTTCGGAGTACAAGAGGAGGTGAATAATGGATGGCAAAAAAACTGCCGGCGGAGTCACATGGCGGTCACGGGTCTGGTCCCTACGTAGCCTCATAAGCCTGGCAGTCCCTGTTAATCTATTTTGTATCAGCCTCCTTTGTCATGACTCGATTTTTCCTCCCTCGCGCGCCAGAGAGGCCAGGGATCCAGTCCCTGGTGGACGGAGCTTGTGGGTTTTCGGAATCGGTTTCCTCTCAGTGGGGATGGATCGCGGGTGAGACTATTTCCTGCTTGTCACCGTCGGCATGCCAGCGACTCCGGCCCAATCCACTGGAAGTTTCACCTAAATCAGTGCCCAGAGCTCCTGGCGCCTATCTATCACTGATAGCCAAGGAAAATAGCCAGTCTGTGGCAGCGAACAAGCCTTGCCTCATATATCCAGCACAACTGTCAGAGTGGTATGACAGGCTAAGGCGAGGGTGACTTGATTTTAGCACCCTTCACATAATGGCATGAAAACCCCGATGGTGGTCGGGTGTGAAGCAAGTGTTTCAGAACTACGCATCCTATCTATACACTTTTCTCCAGTGGTAGGGGTGAAAAAAAAAAAAAAAAAACGAAAACAGTTGTGGGTTCTTGGGGTCCACCAGTGGCCGATATACTGCATATACAGCCGGTTCCTTCCATAGTCACGATATCAGGTTATCCGGTGGTCGGAGACAACTCGCATTGACGTTTGATGTTAGTGAACTGGTGGTATTCGGAGGTCCACCGGTAGGACCAACGTTCTTTTTTTGAGACCTATCACGAAAGCAATAGTTCTGAAGGGTCTGATAAGCTAGGCGAGCTACTTGAAGGCCTTGAGAAGCGCTTGTGGCTGCTAATAATAACCCTCTCATCATGTGTGGTCTTGTTTCCAAGTCAAATCTTGGAAAAATCCACCGATACCACGTCTTTTCCTTCAATGCTGTGGCCCGCACTATCGCCTTGAAATCTGTCAATCTTATACCGCATTTCAACAGGGCAAGTGTGAGGTATTCAAGTCGCTTTATGTATGCCACGTTCACAATAGGGGGTCGAATTTTGGTGGCCCACGGTCAGCCGGGTTGCCTGGGTGTGTAAGAAATTCTCTTTCGGGTTACCAAATGGGGATTGCAATGTGTCTGACCAAGATAGACGGAAAAGGGAAGTTCGTCTTCCTCCTTTGATATTATGCTTCGTGCATTGATCCTCCTCTCTTTGTGACTCTTTGTGAGAGGAGAGAGGGAATCCAAGGCGGGTTTTGTAGTAAGACTCTCGGTTGTCATAAAACGAAGCGTTTGACCCTTTGCACCTCACTACCCTTGACGGGGATATAGATACTATTTTGATACGTTGCTGTAAGTTGTGGTAGGTATTGGAATAGGAAGGAAGGGCGGAAGAGAGCAAGAGGGGAGTTGTTTGGATTTTGATGTTCAGCAGGGTTGTTTCCATGCATGGTAGGTACCCTGAACAGACCAATGAATAGGCCGGCATGGATGGGATGAGTAATCCTAGCCTATTCGACACTCGACAAGCCATCTGTGCCATCTCCCCGCATCTGCTCTCCGCGTCACGTCGCCACGAGTGTTGATCGATGATTTGGAATCCGAGGCGGACAACTAGTGCGCGGTCCGTACGTACATGGGCTGCGGAATCCCGAAAGCCAGCTGTGTGGGGAAACACGGGCGCCTCCCCGAAGCTCGAATCAACCCCCCGACAAGTCTATGGGAAGCTTTTCGGAGAAGTCACACGTCTGCTGGACGAGAATTGTCGCTCGGAAAACTAGTGACAATTGATTATTTTCATCCCATTTCACCCTCCGCCTATCGCAAGTTTGAATTTCTCAACGAATCACCCCAACAGATCGCCCACGCGTCCGCCTGAGTCACTGTGCCTGTGCCAGCCTTGCTGGAAGGAAGATGTCGGTTTGGCGTCGTGTCGCTCATGAACAGTGAGTGATCCGGAGTAGCTTTGGCACCCTAGGCAACAATGGACCAGGACGATCAGTCTCCGCCAGTCGAGGGCACCCCCCGATCCAGAGCCAGGGCTCGTGCGGACCATCTGATGAAACGCGTGTCAAGAGCATGTTTACATTGCAGACAGCGCAAATCGAAATGTGATCTGTAAGTCCGTTCTGGTTGCGAGGATGGCATGGCCGCCTCGGTTCTTGTTCCCGCGGCTAACGGAAAGAAAACAGGGATAGCAGCGGGAGCCCGGGAGTGCCCCCATGCCAGCGGTGTATCAGAGAAAACCGCGAATGTGTTCTGGGCAGCTCCAACCGGGGAGGGCGTCGGATTCGCAAAAACAAAATCAAAAACTTCACCCCAGACACCAACCTCCCGGGGCGGAGAGATTCCGTCGCCGAGGCACCAAGTCCGTCCAATTCCGACCATCAACAACCGGCTTCTGGCTTGTATCCTGGCCCGGTGGCCTTTTTGCCCCCGAACCCACCGACCACAACGTCAATGTCGGTTGATGAAGATGACACCGCATCTATAGGCTCTGTGCCCCGGAATCCATCTGATGCCTGGCAGTGTCTTACTGGCATCGCAAAGAGAGGCGAAGAAGAGCCGAGCCCTGAAACGGGCGCCGAATCTCTGCGTGTCGGCCCCAGAGCGTTTCCCTCATACAGTGTGCTCCAAAATAGCTCTGGGAGCGACTTCCCGCCTAAGAAAGGTATCAAAGCATATAGATTGGTTCAGACACGGTCATTAGACCCGGGAACAGTGTGGCAATTAGTGGCTCGTTACGCCGAACACTTCCATCCATACCTTCCTTTGGTGCCACGAAAGTACTTTAACCGCGACGCGCTGGATGCATTTGCCGACAATGAGAAACATCTGCTCACTGCCATCCTCACCATCGCTTCAAAAGATTTAGTTGAGCGGCCTCATATCCACGAATACTGCTCCAAATACATGCACGAGCTGATTTCCGGGATTGCTGCGGGCGCTGATTGCGATGTGGAGGCTGTGGAAGCTCTTCTTCTCCTGGCTGAATGGGAACCACAAGGGCTGCGGCCACGTGTTGAGCGCGTGGGTCGTGGGGAAGAAGATCGAGCTGCCTGGATGCATGTTGGGCTTGCCTTGCGATCCGGTTATTTTCTGGGGCTGGATAGGACGTCGTTCCGAGACTCTTCAGGGGATGCAGAAACGGAGGCTCGCAGGCGGTTGGCATGGACCAGCTGCTATGTTTCAGACCGCTTGATATCGGTTCGTATTGGCCGCGCCTTCTGGTCTCGCGGACCGGGGCCAATGACTGGCCTTGTCAGCCAAGATTTCCCGTCACTTCAACCAGTCAAAGATGGTGATGAGGACTATGCAAGAATCTTGCAAGCCACTCTGGATCTCACTCAGCTTTATGGGAACGTCCACGATGTCCTCTATTCGGGGATGCGAACGAGTAATCAGATGATGCTCATGGGCGACTATGTTAAGTATGTGGATGACTTTCGTCTTGCTATCCTACGATGGAAATCGCTCTGGGGATCTTTACCATGTAAGTCACGGATCTTAGCCTTTTGTTCTCTTGTCATTAATCTCTTTCCTCCAGGCTCGACTCCCATGAAAGTCACTTTGCAGCTCTCGTATGAATACCTAAGGCTGTACACCAACGCGTTTGCCTTCCAGGCGGCAATATCCCAATCGTTGGTGTCTAAGTTACAAAATGATAATCAATCTCAAAGAGAGCACTTGCGAGCCACCTTCAACAATGTAGCCTCGATGCAGGACTCCCGCTTTATTTATGAGTCAATTGATGCCGCCAAAGCATACCTGATAATTCTTGTTGATGTGGTTCATCCGGAGAAGCATCTTCACTTCATGCCACTTAGATTCTATCTCTATGGTATCTATGCAGCCGTGTTTCTATACAAGGTATCCCTCTTTCATTATCTTCTTGCTACTTTAAAGCCTACTAATACTTCATAGGCACGTTCATTTGGTGTCATGTCGCACTCAGAGGAGATGAAAGTGCGAGATCTTGTTACTCGAACAACAGATGTTCTAAAGCGAGCAAGTGGCGGATCCGATGACATTGGGTCACGCTATGCAAAGCTTCTCGAGCTTCTATGGCAGCAAAGATCAACGCCAACAGCGCCGCAAGCCGGAACTCACCAAAGCAGCGACGTGCTGTTGCAAAACAACGTGGCACTCTCGCACAGCTTGTCCGATCAGAGCAGCTACGTGCACTTCAGCCCCGCGAACGACTTCTCGTGGCTTGATCTCGAAGCAGTGGGGGACTACGTCTCTGGGGACCAGATGTCAGGAGCCAACACACTCGCACTAGACACACTCCAAAACCAAGACGTCTTCCAATCCGGACAAGACCGATCTCAGCCGTGGCAAGTGCCAACTTGGTCCGGAGACATGAGCAGCAGTCTCCTCTTCTAATCCCCACGAGCAGCCCAGAGGGCAGTGACGAGCTGCATCATATATGATTTGCGTGATTGTATTATGAATAGGGCGATAATACACCAGCACTTTTTGGTTTTTGCCTCTACGAGCGCGCAGCAACAGCGGCTTGACTGGTGTCCCCATCTCCCCCCACGCTGGTGCGGGGCTGTGGGGGTCGCCGGAGTTGCGCCGGCATGAGAGTGAGGGGGGCTAGCTTTCTGCTGTGGTTGCCCCCCAACTCACCCTCTTCAAGTCAAAGCAGTCTGTACTTTATTCTCATTTGTATCTGTTAGCAGTCATGACATGAAACATGCGCAATGGGCTTGCTTGACACACCACCGGCACATTTCCGGGTGAGACACCTTGTTTTGTTTTCGATACATACCACACGCCGTGGAACACACCGGAGGAGGATATAGAGGTATCTAGTCTTAGGATAACTCTAAGCTCACCTCCTAAATGTCCTAGGACGACTTTAAATCCACCTACCAGTAGTCTTCATAGTGCCTCAATCTTATACCTTCACCTCTGCTATCTCCAAAACTTTCTCTCAAAGATTGGAACCAGCCAGTGACTCCACATTAAGGGCGGCTTTATTGAAACTAACCAGTGCTAGTAGGGAAGTGCCCATAACAGCCAAATCAACCTACAATCTAAGCAGTAGATACCAGCAGGCAAAGAGCCCCTGCAACGGCCGAGATCACTAGAACCAAAACTAGAACCAAAAGCCCGAGCCCATCCTCGAAGATCTCACCACCAAAAACGCCAACCACCCAAGGATTCCGATTCCTGCGAGTATATAGCTAAATAGTGACTTCGAAAAAATCTCTATAATGTTTGATATACTTACAATAACAGTGCCTTTCATAGGCCTGCTGTCTGCTTTTACCTTAATCCTGAGATCCGGCCAAAACCATGGCAGCCTTCGCCTTCTATATATATGGCATTTTGAATACTAAAGATAACTGCTCCAGGGGCTTCAACCTCCGCCTCAGCGGCTGCCCCAGCGGCTTTATCTACCAACTCGCTTGATCACTTCCTATCTGACCTATGATCTCGCATCAAAACACCCTCACGAAACACCTCGTTGCTTCCAACACCTGCAATATCAAAGTGTACGGTGTGCTCCATCAGCGCCTCCGTCTGAACCAATAATTCAAAGACTTCATTAGTTGAAGACATTTACCAACATGCTTCGCCCTTCAGCTTCCATACACACCAGCGTCGAAGTTTAATAGAATAATCTTATATCTTCATCATTCGCCGAGAAATTCTTTGAAGCTTTCTGAACTCAAAGCCGGAGTGGCTGTTGAATGATTTGCTGTTGAATGATTTGCTGTTGAATGATTTGCTGTTGAATGATTTGCTGTTGAATGATTTGCTGTTGAGTGTCTGTTTGTTTATACTCGGCGTCGACGCTATAAGTTGTATATAAGTGCAAATCATGGGTGACAAACGCGTATCTAAACAGGTCAAGTATGAACAATATGTTCTTGTCCTGACATACAGATGATCTACTAGCCCCTATCAAAACAGGTGAATCCCCATGTTAAGCTTCCCATTTTTCTGAAAAATAAGACAATCCTTCTAATTTTGACTTGTTTACTCCGTACACAGCAACTCAATCTATGGGAGCCTGTATGCGGGTTGCAGCGTAAGCCCGCCTGTATGGAACGGGACGGGGAAGCGGAGCCGTTAGTCAGCATTGGCATACACGTGACGGCAATGAAGGCGACCATTATGCGGATGACAGAGAAGAGAAAAAGATTTCGGACAAGAGAAAGATAGAGTATTAGAGATCACTTACTATAGTCCAGAGCAATAAAGGACAGATCTCTCTCAAACCAGATAATATGGCATAAACAAGAATTAGTTGTTGCTGCGGACCTCGAAGCCTGCAGGCGCTAAGGGGCGATACTGCCGGGCGGTAGGGGGCGCACCTACCGGAAGGCGCCTAGTGCTAGGGCTGGCATACCCTAGGCGGGCGCCAAGAGCGAAAAAGCGCACCACAACGAGCGAGCCTCGCGATCTCAAGTTCCAGCGGCCGACGACAGAAAAGCGACAAATCTTCTCACCCGACATCGAGGACCACCCGCTCGGCAACCACATCAAGATGGTGAGTTCTATATTCGCGTTTGCTGCTATCGGTTGAAATTGGAGGATCTGGAACCTTTGAAGAAAATCGCTGTCCAAATGTCCCACCCCATCGATGTACCGGAATTCTTCGATCCTGCGTTGTCCCCCCCCAGGTCGGCCGGAGAGGGCCTATATCGAATTTTCGCGACCCTACTGTTACCATTACCACCGACACACACCACCTCCTACTGCTGTTATGAATGAATTGTGCTTGGAAACAAGGAACATGAAATGTGCTTTGGTATGAATGGTTTTGCTGATGGGTTTTTTTTCTTCGCCATCAGGTCCGTTACGCTGCTCAGGACATTCCCGCCGCTAAGAGCGCCCGCTCCCGGGGCTCTTACCTGCGTGTCTCTTTCAAGAACACCCGCGAGACCGCCCAGGCCATCAACGGCATGAAGCTCCAGCGCGCCCTTACCTTCCTCACCAATGTCACTGAGAAGGCCGAGGCCGTCCCCATGCGGAGGTACGCTGGCAGCACCGGTCGCTGCGCCCAGGGTGAGTGGACATATTTTTTTATTCGCGATGATTACGGATGGGATGGAATGGAATGAATGATTGCGGTGGGAGTTGATGGGGGGGAAAATCCGAGCGATGGGAATGATGTGGACGGGGATGAAATGGAGGATGTGGCAAATGCAATAATTGGGAACGAAGACGCTGACCGTCTTCTCTACAGGCAAGCAGTGGGGTGTCTCCAAGGCCCGCTGGCCCGTCAAGTCCGCCCAGTTCCTCATCGACCTCCTGAAGAACGCTGAGGCCAACGCCGACACCAAGGGTCTCGACACTGGCAACCTCGTTGTCAAGCACATCCAGGTCAACCAGGCTCCCAAGGGCCGCAGACGTACTTACCGTGCCCACGGTCGTGTATGTTGATTCGAGACCATTTTGATCACCGCCCGAAACTGACCCGTCGATAGATCAACCCCTACATGACCAACCCTTGCCACATCGAGCTCATCCTCACCGAGGCTGAGGAGCAGGTCCAGAAGGCCGTCGTTGCCAAGGAGTCTCACCTCAGCTCCAGACAGCGTGGTGCTCAGATCCGCCGTGCCATCCAGGCATAAGCGGTCTGTAGGTGTCGGGGGAAGTAAAGTGGTCAGATACTGAAATGGGAATGCCGGAGTTTGCTGTACGGATCCAATACCTGGTCACGGAAGGAATACAAAAGAAATTATTACTTTTTTGACAAATGGAAAAAATTCGAAACCACCCGGCGAGACTGATGACGATGTTCCTACTGTTTCCGAGGCGTCACTATGCGTCTCTAGGCATTGATCTCTTCCCCGGATTTCTGGTTCACCTGGACTTTTTTTCATTTCTGGCGGCCGGCCCATAGCTGGTGCCGATCGAACGAGTCCAGGGATTTCCTCCGCACATGGACGGATGGCGTGCTTCAGTACGGCTTGTTCGGACATTCTCATACTTCAGGACACTTTGAGCGTTAATTCATGATCGGATACGGAATTCATTTTTCTTTCATGAAGTCTAAAAAAGGATGTGGACAAGGGTCCTGTATCAGGCCAGGTCACCCGCCTATCCTCCGAAGTCTAGGCCATAGAGATTGGCTACCTTGCCAAATCGTAGTAGGCTTTTGTAACCCGATACCACGCCAGTGCTCTTGTAGCCGCGCCACAACTAGACCCTCTGATCTACAGACTGCAGAAGGCGGCCATCCCGCGACCAAAACCCCGCCGTCAGCCAGCTCCAGGTTGGCGGAGGAGACAGGACGGATGCCTGGCAAGCCAAGAGTGGCTGTGTGACTGTCACCCCAATCAACCACACGGACCGACCGCCAGGAGATCTTTCTGCGCTAGTCACCCTCAACATGACCCCTCCAGGCGAAGCATTCGCACGCCCATGACGACAGAAAAGTATGCAGCTGAAGCAAAGCGAGTGGAAACGACCTACGTACTCGCGCCCGGTTGGTTGAGCTGACGGAGCGGAAGTGCATCACGGGCTGGTCTTGGTATCGCCGTAGGAAGCAAGCAGGCATCAGGATTCACCTGCCCGCGGATCAAGTGGATGCCATGGCCCTACCCAGTACCGATATAGACGCCTTCCCGTCTGGACTGTCCCAAGAACGTCGAGGGATTGCTTGCGTGTCGCCGACAAAGCGCGTTGCCACTGGACGGGGCTGGGTCGACCTCCAACGCAGAAGGTTTCGGGGGGTTGCAGCGGACGATTGACTAAGGCCGCCCTTGCTCTTAGTTAGTTAACTACTACCGCTTCCGCGCCCGTTCTTTTTCCTTTCCGCGGCGCCTAGGCTGATGCCGAGACTGTAGTCAGTCAACTTAACTAACCTCCCTACCTCATCTTACTCCCCTTTCCCAATCACTTTAGTTCTATGAGAGTTGGTCGCATTTTTAGACACTCGTGATCCTACCTGTACAGTCACAATGAAGCGCATCTTCACCTCCCTCAGCAGGCGCTCCAGTGGGTTTCCCCTCCGCGCTAGCTTATGCGACGGCATCAGCTCATGCCAGAAACAGGCCCGACGCGCGACACTCCCTCCTACGCAGATGACTCACCTGAAGGAGTTATTTTGAAAGAAGTGGTCAGCTTACTGCCTCAATCTACATATTGCATTGAAGTGCATCCAGCTAACTGCGACGTACGGCTTACTAGACTGCGTTCTGCGAATCGGGAGGCCCCGTATGTGCCCCTCACCATCCGATCACCTTGTCTCCGCCCAAATCCCTCCCTACCATGCAACCATACTGACAATGCCTCCCTCACATCCAGAATGGAAATGAATTCGTTCACCTCCCCGGGATCGTCGAAAGTGCAGAATCAAGCCCCAACGCCGCCCGGGAAGCGGCCCAGCGCATCCGCAAGCTGCTGTCCGAGCCGTCGAAGACCCCGAGTAACGTGCAGTACAATGCGATCATGCTTATTCGCATTCTGATCGACAACCCGGGTCATACCTTTTCGCGCAACATCGACGCCAAGTTCGTGGCTACCTTGAAGGACTTGTTCCGCCTGTCGAGGGATGGGAGCGTACGTAACTTCCTGCGGGAAACGCTGGACTTTCTGGAGACGCAGCGGTCCTGGGATGAGGATCTCACGCTGCTCTTGCAAATGTGGAGCAAGGAGAAGGGCAAGGTCAACACCAGGACAAACACCGGTGTACGTGAGCTGACATCCCTTCACATCCACCATAATGCTAACGCACCTCGTTCATACAGCCCGGTCTGACACAGCCCATGGTCCAGCCATACCGACAGGCGCCGAATTACTTCGGCGGCGGCGCCAACCCAAGTGCCGCATTGCCGGAACCCGGGGAGCTGGTCGCGCGCATCTCCGAGGCAAAGACCTCCGCGAAGCTACTCATCCAATTCGTCCAATCCACGCCTCCTACCGAGATGCTCGAGAACGAGCTCATCAAGGAATTCTCCGACCGGTGTCGCTCGGCCTCCCGGGCCATTCAGAACTACATTCACGCGACGAACCCCGGACCCGATGAAGATACTCTGGTGACGTTGATCGAAACGAACGATGAATTGTCTGTAGCGCTTTCGAAACACCAGCACGCTATCCTCAGCGCACGCAGGGCTCAGGGTCTTTCGGCCAGCCAGTCCTCCGCGTCATCCAGCCAGGCTTCGGCGTCCGGCGCTGTGCAATCCTCGGTGCCACCCCCAGTACCACCCCGGGATACGCAGAGCCCTCTCCAGTCCTCCGGAGTCTCTCCCACACCTCCATCCCTGCCGAGAACCTACAGCAACGGCGCAGGCCAGTACCGATCGGAGGACTTCCAGGTCCAGAATCCGTTTGCCGATAATCACGGACCCACGGCGTGTACGGCTTCCCCGACGCATGCAGAGAATCCCCAGGCAGAGAACAACCCTGACTGGTGGACGGAGGGGCAACAGCGGCCGGCGCAGCAGCATCTGATCTGAGACGTGACGGCTTGTTCAAGTTACCCTACGTACTCTCTGTGCCTGGGGCACTGTTTCTTGGAGAGACGACTAGGTCCTTTTATGATTTTTGATGTATCGATACCATACCTCTACAGTATTGTTAATTAATCCCACCATCGATGGGTTGTACATTGCCTTCTTTTTTGGAATTTATGGCGAGCAATAAAGGTTGGATGATGAGGATGGTGATGTGTGTGGTCTTGGCTTGATGATATACTAGATATGTGAAACCAAGGTGTGCCCATAATAGTGTGGTGACACCGCTTCAAAGTGTGCTTATGATAATCAAAAAGTTGTGTTACGCAAATCACATGCCGAAGGTGCTATGAAACTGCCAGTGTCACTTTCTTTTCACATCCCCCCATTTCCCCCATTCCACCCCCCCCCCGATCCTCTTCTGACTACCTCCATAACGTCTCCTCACGACACATCTTTAGCTGATACCTCTTCAGGCAGGTAAACCACCTATTGTCGATATTCCTTGCATCTAACTTGAACCGCCGGGCAATCTACAATCTCACCTCGTGGCCTCGATTGTCAAGGTACCAAGTCCAAAAAAACGTTTCTGTCAGGGGTTGGAACGGCATGCCACCGCTCGTTAAAACGTCGTACCATAGTTCAAGATTCAGCATGTGCGCTCTCCACAACAAGAAAGCCATGACTTTGTTAATGGAATCGAGTTGAGCAACTTGCTCACGTCCAGCTCGGATTTGAACACCAGTCAAGGCAAAAATTGCAAATCCTGCAACGACGTCATCTCCGGCGCCCCCGTAAACGCCTCATTCACCGCATCGCAATGACTCGGCCAAACACTGGGATCGATAAGGTCGACCCAAGACCAAAGGGGGTCTGTATTCTTCTCCAGCTCGGGAAGCAATTCCTTTTTGCCCGCTTCTGCGTTTAAGGACGAAGAAGGCTGGATACCACCACCAGCATCGCCACGTCTGTGATCGATGTTCAAGACTTTGGTCAGCTTGTCCACCTTAGCCCGAAGATGTCGCGTCAGACAAGCCGCCCGCGCAGCAGTCTCGTTATGCGGGCCCGCGAACTCGAATGTCTCCAGTGCGATATCGACGTATTCCCGGGCTGTCGGACAGCGGTGACAGAAGGGGAAGGCGAGCATGAATCCGATTAGGGTTAAGACTGCGTTCCATTGGTATTGGTATATTTCGCAGGAGCCGTGGAAGATGTCATGTTGACTGAGGCGGCGGTGGATGGTGTGGATGGTGGCGAGGGCGTGATCGAGGGCTGTGGCGGCATGGGCGCCGGCGTAATGACTCTCTCGTGGGACGAGGGGGAGGTGGGGGAAGGTGATGAAGACACTGTGCAGGCTGACAATGATGTCGTGGTATTGGAGTTCTAGGAGGGTGGTGGTTTGGATTTGGATGGGTGGTTGGGTCATGTATTGGTTGTTGCTTGGGGAGGGGGGGGGGGGGGTTGTAAGTGTGGGTGTCGAGAGTGTGGAGTTTGAGATGGTTGAACCAGATGTCGTGTTGCAATGCGTCGCGCCATTGTGTAAGGGGTGTCAGGTTCCGCGAGAGTAACTGGGCTTGGGATTCGATGTTGCCTGCATGTCGTTCCCGAGACATGGATTCGATGACGGCGAGGGCAGCGTACGTCATTCGGATTGACTGTGCGTGGGATGGGGGTGAGTTGGAGTCGGAGGTTGGTATTGTACAGGGCAACAGGCCCCGGGATATGGGTAGCGATGTGCTTATGGGTTTGTCAAGGTGTCTTGAGCAGCGGAAGTCCTACGCCTTGGTTCGCTCGGCAGAGCAGGCCGACGCCGTGAAGAAATACGGCGCCGAGCCTATATTTCTCGGTCTCAATGATCACAGCGGCGTGGCCGAGGCTATTATTCAAGCCGAGATCACCATAATCTACTACCTCATCGATGCGTACTCAGCAAAGCATCAACCGGCCTTGATCAAAGCCTTGGGCGATGTCAAAAAGAAAACCGGGAAAGACGTGCACTTCCTTCATACGGCTGGCGCGAAGGAGTTCAGCAGTCATGCGGGAATGCCCACCCACAGTCCCTTACTTGACACGGATCCGCAGCTTTATGAGCTACAGAAGACCGCGAAGGCACGCCATGACTTTGCTGAGGTAGGTCGAGGCACAAATACCACTGCCAATAGTATCTAACATATCGATAGTCAATCAATGCTGTTGTCAGGGTTATCGACACTGCTGAAGCCCTCGGGGTGCGGAGCTACATACTGGCTCCGTGTATTGTTTATGGCAAAGACGAAGGGTTCGGAAACCAGACCTCGATCCAGGACGTGGCCATCGTGAATGCTGCCATGAAGCTTCGTCGAGTTTTTAAAGTGGATCCGGGTTAACCCTGTATGCCCTCCTCGAAGAAGAATGATTGTGCATATCGGCTGACTCTATCAGACCTGGCCTGTCTGCCATATCATCGACACGACCACCTTGTATCTGCAGATTCTCCGAAAGATTTTGTCTGGCGATGACATCGGTTACGGGAAACATGGATACTTCCTAGCTGCATCGGGTAGTATCCATTGGAAGGACCTGTACAGTGCCATGGCTCAGAGCCTTGCAAAGCGCGGGGTCATCGAGGATGAGGCGGTCACGCAGGCGGATGAAGCGGATATGAAAAAGATGGGGGAGGCGCTGAAGGTCTCGCCAGAGGTAGTGCCAGTGCTTTTAGGTGGAGAGTAAGATTGACCTATGAGATTCCAAATGATTAATATGCTAACCTATCAGATGTCTATTCACCGCAAAGCATGGTCGGGAAATTGGATGGGAATCGCATCCTGAGTCGACAATAGCATCATAATCAAAACCCAGACAATCAAGGATACGGATAGATGGAGGGACCAACAGCCCAGGACGTTAGCGCTTGGCTATCAGGCCAGGGCTGAGGGCTGTCGAGGATAAATGAACTGCAGCCGGGCGAATGCTGTGATTGGAGCCGCCGAGCTGTTAAGGGATGGGTCCCCTGGTCTTGGCTTGCGGCTACTTCGGAGCACGCGCCCGAGAGCGTGCAATTGCCAGGGTTAGGAGGGCGAACCTGAGGAAATTCAGGAGCAGGCGGTCCAGTGGGACGTGAGAGATAAAAAATCTGGCGGTCACGGCAAGGCTTGATGGGCGGCAGCCAAGGCGCGGGCGCAATGAAGGTGAAACCCTAACTGTGCCAAGCATCCCGGCGTTGAACCGCTAATCAACTGCATCTCCACCCGCCGTTTCACGCCCATCAACGTGAAACTGTTTGCCCACTGCCCGGCGCTTGAGCCAGCCTGCAAGCCCTCTCGTCATTGACCCAGCCCCGACCTGTCAGTCCACCGCCCCTCTTGGGTGGGGAGGCTCCTGTCATTATTGTCCTCAGGGTTTCGATGGCGCTGGACCGAGCTAGAGCCGTTTCACGATCGATTATGATGGAGCTGCTCTGACGGCCAGAACCGGTCCGCACTGGCTATATAGACGGCAGACTCGCTCGGTTTTTCTTCAATCTTTCTTCAGTACACAGGATTGTCCGACTCTTTCTCCTTCCTTTCTACATTCTCTTCCACTCCACCGGTCTGTGACCGTCACATTCTTTCCACACCACTTCCATTCCTTCTCCATCGGTATACTGGTATACCGGTCCTTTCGCTGTCTTTTCCTTCAGATATTTGACTATCACCAAAACAAACAACATGAAGACCACCGGCTCCGTCCTTGCCCTTGCCGGGCTCGTCTCCCTGGTCCACGGCCACGGTTTCGTCACCTCTCCCAACCCCCGTCTTCCCGGCTCCGCTATGGAGGCCGCTTGTGGCCAGCAGGTGTACGACAACCAGGAGTCCAACAAGTACGGCAACATCCAGAACATGCTGCAGGTTGCTGCCGACCAGAGCGACTACAACGCCACCGCATGTGACATCTGGCTGTGCAAGGGTTACAAGTTCGCCGACAACAAGGACAACGTCTACTCGTACAAGCCCGGTGAGGTCGTCGACTTTGTCGTCGACATTATGGCCCCCCACACCGGTACCGCCAACGTCTCCGTCGTCCAGACCTCCACCGACACCGTCATTGGCTCCCCTCTGATCTACTGGAGCGTGTACGCCTCCACGGCCACCGGTGTCACCAAGAACGAGACCAACTTCAGCGTCACCATCCCCGACGACCTGGGTGACAAGTGTGCCACCGGCGGTGACTGTGTGCTCCAGTGGTGGTGGAACGCCGCTTCCATCAACCAGACCTACGAGTCTTGCGTTGACTTCACCGTCTCCGGCTCCGCTTCCTCCTCTTCGTCCTCGGATGCTTCCACCTCCAGCGCCGCTGCCGTCAGCGAGCCCACCACCACCAACGCTGCCGCCACCGTCTCCACCCCTGACACCGCCAACAACATCGCCCCGGCCTCCTCCAGCGCTCCCACCACCCTGGCCACCAGCATCAAGCAGGCTGCTACCACCACCCCCGCTGCCGTTGCTGTTGCTGTTGCCACCGCCTCGGCCTCGGCCTCCAGCGTGGCCATCCCCACCGACGGCACCTCCGAGGAGCAGCTCACCTGGGTTGCCAGCCTGCTGAAGGCTCTCCTCAAGTACGCTAACTAAAGCGTGGATGTTAACTGTGCCATGAGACGGTTAGTTGTTTGTTAGGTAGATTTCTATAAATAGATTTACCTGTGCAGTACTGAATTTCGATCCATAAACTCGTATTTTCGATGCTGTTTAGCTGCAGGAGAGTACATATTGCTTTGGACAGTAGATACCAAATCTTTTGTTGTGCCTTCTGTAGTTAATCTATTCTCGATATGCTCAAGGGAGAGACCAATGGGGTGCGCGTGTATGCAAAAATCATGGTATATCGGGTACCTGTCACTTCCATCCCAATTCTATCTCGGGACCCATTATCCCTAATCTGAATATTACTCCATATACTTCCCCCGTAGCTTTGGAGTGTACAAGGAGATAATTTAACTTGAAGGGTCATCGCAACATCTGTATAGATCTGCTGACATAAGCCCACTGGTCCCTGCACTAGCCCGAAGCGGCATATCGGTCGACCGCCGCCGATCTCCGCACTTTCTGTCCGCATCGCCTGCAGTCCTCCTTTTCCTCTTCATCCACTCTTCACCCTCCGTCAGTGGCCTTCCCATCTCATCGCCCCTGTCAAAATGACAGGCTCACACCCCCATTCCATCCCCCTCAGCCACCTCCCTCCCTCCGTCTCTTACAATGAGGCCACTACCACCGCCCTCGAACGCCCCCTCAGCACGACCGCCGACGAAGAGTCCAACCCTCCTCCGCGCTACACCCGCGAGAACGACCCCTTCCAGCTGGCATCGAAACTCAAGACCGCCGAAGAGATTGCCCAGATTCAACCGCAAGCCAACATTTCGCGTAAACGCGACAGCAACTCCGGCTGTCTTCCGCGCCCGCCCAACCCGCGCCGCGCCCTTTCCTCAACCCTCGCATCCCGCCAACTGCAGACCTTCTACGAAGCACAAAATGAAAACATCAACCGCATGCTCAAGCCCGTGGAGGAGCACGTCCGCGACGCCCGGGAAATCAGCACCAGCACCCAACTGAAGTACAAGATCGCCGTCTGGGGCTCCTTCGCCGCCAACGTCATCCTCTGCGTCCTGCAACTCTACGGCGCCATTTCCTCCAGCTCTTTGTCGCTGTACACCACCATGGCGGACGCGATTTTCGACCCCATGTCCAACGCGACCCTGCTTATATCCAACAAGGCCGTCAACCGCGTCGACCCGCGCAAGTTCCCCGCCGGAAAGGCCCGCATCGAAACCGCCGGCAACATCTGCTTCTGCTTCCTCATGACGGCCGTCTCGTTCATCCTGATTGCGTTCTCCGTCCGTGAGCTCGCCGAAGGCTCCACCTCCGAAACCGGCTCGTTCCATCTCCCCTCCGTGCTTGCCGTCGCCGTCGCGTTCTGCACCAAGCTCGCGCTGTTCCTGTACTGCTGGGCCCTGCGGAACCAGTACTCGCAGGTGCGCATTCTGTGGGAGGACCACCGGAACGATCTGTTCATCAACGGATTCGGTATCCTCACCAGTGTCGGTGGAAGTAAGCTCCGGTGGTGGATTGATCCGGCCGGTGCCATTGTGCTCTCCGTGCTGGTCAGCTGCTTGTGGTTGTTCAGCGCCTACCGCGAGTTCCAGTTACTTATTGGCGTGACTGCCGATACGAAGATGCAGCAGTTGATTACTTATATCTGTATGCCACGTCTCTCTTCTCATGATCTCCCAAAATTCTGGATGTGACGCTAATAGTTGACAGCAATGACCCACTCCCCCCTCATCACCGCCATCGACACCGTCCGCGCCTACACCTCCGGCCCGCGCCTGCTGGTCGAGGTGGACATCGTGATGGACCCGAATGACTCGCTGCGCGCCACCCACGACGTGGCCGAAGAGCTGCAGATGAAGCTGGAGTCACTGCCCGATGTCGAGCGGGCGTATGTCCACGTGGATTACGAGACGACGCATAAGCCGGAGCATTTCCTGAAGAAGGAACTGTAATTGTCTCACGCACGTACCGCCCACACACATCCTCGCTCTTTTATACATACCTTCACCCTCCACGCGCACATACCCCAACTTATACATACCCTCCCATGCGCAAAACTGGTGATAAGCCCGACGGACTGAACATGAAATCCGTCTGTTGCCATTGTTAAGGCATCCTTATGATCACATACGTACGTACATAGATTGCTTGTTTTCTTGATTATTTGGCTAGCTAGCCGACTCTCCACTATATCATATTCACTATACCAACTCCCGCTACATCCAGTGAATATGAAGTACTCGATAAAAGCACGTAATTTATATCATGCACGCACCAGATTTTATGGACGAGATAGGACAGCGTAGCCCTAACTTATTTCCCTTTTCGGATGCCGCTAACAGCAGCAGCAGCAGCAGCAGTAGTTAACTAGTAGTACTACTTAGTAAGGAGTCGTGTTCCTCTCTCCGACCACCATTTCCTAATGGGGTAGGGGAAAATCATCTGACATTGCTTCATACCTAGGCAAATGTGTCTGTGCTATAGGCAGGCTACGTCAGTTTGTTTCGGTAGTCATACCGATATCACATTAAAGGATGATGAGTGATGACCGATCAACCATGTTTGCCATGAGGATATTCGACAATTAGCAGTTAGCAGTTAGCAAAATGGCCATGGAGGTGGGTTGTATCAACACGTTCTCTTCTCTTTTTGAATAGTCCTTCCTTATATTAATTACATCGATCTTCACACTCGCATCCTGGCTTTTGCCATATCCCCCTCCCCCCAATGAGCAACATGCCACGGAGCCACGGAATGAATTCATCAAGATACTAGCTAGGGAAACCAGAAACTATCGGACATGTTCACAGAAATTTACCCTGCAACTATACTTACATCTACGGCGGTTACATTACAGCACAGCACTACCGGGACAGGCAGGGGCAGGGAGCAGGGGGCACTGGGTCTGAACCGAGAAGATAGTAAAGTAGAGATTCACTATCCCAGCATAACATGATACGATCTACCAATTACGGAACGGAAACATTTAATAAGAAAAGGGGGGGGGAAAGCAACCATAAGACCTTTATAATAGCCGATGATGGTGTATGAACAACAATCATGTTTAACAAAGTGGTATCCACATACATGCATTCTGCGACTGATCGACCGACCAACCGGACCCAAATCAAAATCAAAATCATCCAGTCAATCAAGCAAGCAAGCAAGCAAGCAAGCAAGCACCAGGTTATATCGAAGCTGATGAGATGGATGAGATTTGATTTTATGAGACGAGGTGAGATGGATACGTAGATCCCTGATAGATAGACAACATAACACGCGCAAAAGAGAAAAGAAGAAAAAAAAGGAACGGAACGATTACTGATCGAACTATTGTTCGAAGAGAGCAATAGTCGAGCAGTATGTGCTCTCGTTGCCCTCCTGCGGGACAATGCTATCACCGCTGGCCGAAGTGATCATGTTGGTGCTGGCCTTGGTGCTCAGGCCGTAGATGATCACGTCGGAGCAGTCGACCTCGACGATGTTCTCCTGGCAGGACTCTGTCAGGAGACAGGTCTGCGAGTAGTTGTCGAAGAAGCTGTACAGGCCGGCGCCATAGACGTAGGTGTCGGAGCTGTTGGTGATGCGGAGACCCCAAGCCTTGCGGCAGGAGTCGGTGGTGCAGTAGGAGAAGTCGGGGTCGTTCCAGGCGGTTTGCGGGGTGAAGGGGGTCAGGGCGTTGGGGTTGGCCTGGTAGTAGGGGGTCTCGGTCTGGATCAGGCCCATGAAGACGTTCTTGGCGGAGGAGACCTGGTAGTTGTAGAGCTGGTTGTGCTCGGAGGCCGTCCCCCACAGCCAGGCGGCCTCTTGGGTCTCGATCAGGACTCCACGGCCGTTGTAGACGTTGATCTGGCCGTGGTCCGACAGGTCGAGCTCGTGGTCAGCGGTCCAGAACCAGGTGTTCTCGAGGTAGGGGCTGGACTTCTCGGTGGCGTGGAAAAGCAGGAAGGCGCCAATGCACTTGGAGTTGGGGGTCGTGGTGACGTCCGGGGTCTTCGCACATTCGGAGCTCTGCAGCTCGGTGCCGGCAGAGCCACCAATGCGGGCGTGAACGTCCCACATACCAGCAGCGGCTTGGGAGGAGCCGGCAACGTTCCACTGGATGAGGATAGCACCGGGGGCCGGGCCCTTGGTCTCGACGATCAGGTCACTGAGCTCGACCTCGCCGACATCGCCAACATCGCCGATCTGCAGCATGGGGATAGGGTTCTCCTGGTCGGCGAACTTGTCGCCGTACGCCATGAGCATGGGCCACACCTCACCGGTGATCTTGATGTCCTTGGGCACCTTGATGGTGTCGGTGATGATGTAGGCACCGTGGTCGAAGTAGACGATCTGGTCTGAGGTGGCGCTGTCCAGCACCTTCTGGATGGCGGCAGTGTCATCGGTGGTTCCATCACCCTTGGCACCAGCGGACTTGACACTAAGGAAGGCAGAAGCCGCGTACGACTCGTACAGAGGCTTGGAGCGCTCCACGATGCCACCGTCGCTGTTCAGGAGAGCGCTGGGCTTGGCCTGGGAAGGAAGGCTGGTTTCGATGCGGGTCTTAGTGACGGTCTTGGTCGTGCACTGTCCGGTCGCGTTGCCGGAAGTACCATAGTAGTGGCCGGAAGATGCGGACGCGGACGCGTACACGGCAGAGGACGAAGCCGCGTTCGGGACGTAAGATACACCGCCAGACTGATGGGGAATGACGGAGGCACCGTACGTCTGGATGGCGGGAGAAGACTCAAGGGCAGATGATACGACTGACACGCCCGTGGCTTGGACACCCTCACTGGTGGCACTGTCGAATCCAGCCCAGCTGTTACCAGAGGCCGCGGGGTACTCCACGGAGAGGGAGGCAGGCAGGGAACGGTCCGTGGTCAACACATCGTCAGCAGCGGCGGCGCCAGAAGCGGTTGGCAGGGCGGCAACGGCGGACGTCTCATAGTCGGCAGCGCACGCGGTGATGGTTTCGGTGACAGTCTCATAGATATACTGGACATCCTCAGTGGCTTGCACTGCGGGAGCACGCTTCTTGAGAGTGACAGAGGAGGAAGTGTACGCGCCACCCTGGACGTAGTTGGCCACGACGGATCCGCCCTCCAGGATTGTGGTGCCGTCAACGCTCGCGATAGCAACAGTGGAGCCAGTGAAGTCGACGTTGTCCAAGACGAGCGCGCCACCTCCGGTGGGGATGCTGTCCTCAGAAAAAGCAGTCACCACGCCCGTGGGGGTGTTGGTGAACGTGCTGTCCAGCATGAGGACAGAACCGACGGTCTGGTTGGAAGGCGAGGCGGACATGTTCAGACCGACCTGGCAGTTGTTGATGGTCACCGAGCTGAAGGTCCAGGCCCAGTTCCAGTTCATGTAGATGGCAGTGTTGCAGTCGTTGAAGGTCAGGTTACGGGTGGTGAACTGCTGGTTACCGAAGAAGGCACCGTAGTTACCGCCGTTGAAGGTGAGATCGGACATGAAACCACCGGAACCGTTGTCCATGAAGATACCCTGCTGCTTGTTGGCAGAGCCGCCACCCTTGATCATCTCAAACCGGATGTTTTGCAGGCTGGTGGCCTGGCCGACCTGCCAGTGGATACCAGCACCAGACGACTCGGGCATGGCAGTCAGATCAATGACAAAGTTGCGAACGGCGCGGAAGAAGTTGTTCTGGTTCGTGTACCAGTTCGCACCCGACGAGAGGTAGGGGTCGGAATCAATGACCGCCATACCGGTAAAAGCGGCGGAGGCCTTCAGGACGGGAAGATCATTGGCGTCACCAACCATCTGGGTGTAGTAGTACTGGATAATGGGAGTGGACACGAGGTAGGTACCGGGGGGGAAGTAAACGAGGGCCGGGGTCGTTGTCGACGAGTCACAGCCCTCACCGCAGCGGCCACCGGATGAGATGGCCTCGTTGATGGCAGCGGTGTCATCGGTAGTACCGTCACCTTGGATGGTCAGCACTAAGTCAGGGTGCAATTGGGGGCGGTCCCACCTTTGGCGCCATAGTCCATGACGTTGCGGTAGATCTTATAGCTGCTGGTCTCGTTGCTGAAAGGCACAGTGCCCTGGCGGGTGATGGTGCCAACCCAGTAGTCCGTGGAGCGCTCCGCGAGATGCGAAGTCACGTCCGAGCCGGACAGGGGGACGGCATCGACCAGACCGAGGGGCAATCCGAGAAGAAACAGATGTGCCACGAAGACCATGATTGACGCGCGAATGGAAGCCATCTTCAAGATAGCTGATGCTCCCTGAACCGGCAGAGAACGACGAGGGTGAACGGACGATAATATATCGAAAGAAGCTGCGGGCGACAGACTTCAGCAGCCAGTACTGAAGATATTTGAATCTGGTGATCTCGGAGAAGACGAGATAGCTGCAGAGAGGCAAATGCAGAGGTCCGTCACACGACAGGGTCAAGCGGAGGGTTGAATCGAAGTCGGAGGAATGATAGGCTCCAACAAAAGAGGAAGGGCAAGTGACAATAGGAAAAAGGAATGAATGGGGTGCGAGTGAATAGAAAGGAATGGATCAATGAATGACTTGAAAGAGCGAGTGCGTCAACGAGGTGCGATGAATACACCACAAAACACAACACTCCAACCGCTTGGCGTCGACAAGGACGACAAGACAAGCAGGACGGACAAAGAACGGAAACGACACAGTCGGCGCTGTCTCGCAAGAACTGGCGACGGCGGGGGGTTTTAGGGAATGGGGGAACGACAGGCGAGTCCGGCCGGGTTCAAGGTTATGCGCCTAATTACTTAGGGTGATTAGGGTGATTGCTGGCACGGCGGACGGCCCAATGGCGGACGGGCAGTGATCAGGATTCAGGAACAGTCAACGCTGAAGCTTACCCGCTCTACGGCCCGGATTGGCTGGCGAGCGTGCTGGCTTGAATTACCGCGTATGGCCGCGGTGGATGACTGCCTTATTGTCGCGGCTCCTCCAATCACAGCGCGCGATCTCCCCACTCGGGCCAATTAGCGTCGATGTTGGCCGTGCGTTGCTTGCTGCTTGAAACGCCTGCTCAGGGATGAAACGATTGATGGCGGACTAGACGGCAGTCAGCCCGGCTGATTGGACGAGGCCTCCGTCCGCCGTGGATATTGCAGTGGGAGGAGGGGGAGGGGGAGGGGGAGGATGATGCTCCCAGACCAGTTGACCTACCCGACGGTGTCCAGTGACTGGCCAGATGATTAGATCCCAGTGGCGGGACGCGATGCTCAAGATGAGATTATTATTATTATTAGAGTAGTGAGTATTGTACTCCGTACGGTCGGCAAGCGAGCGCGGAGCTATGCAAACGATGGGCACTCTCCCTTTCTGGAGAGTAGGAAGTAGTCCTAGTGGTAGGCCACAAATGAACGAAAGCCGTCCCGGTCCAAAGCTCAGGCCAAGGGAACGCGGAAAAGGAGAGGGGAGGAAGAAGGGCAGGAAAGCAGCGAGAGGAGCGAAGGCCTAGGCAGATCAGCGGGCCCGGCGGGTGTACATATACCTGGATGGCGTCCCCATCGAGCTCCTCAATTTTCGTCTCAGGTGCTGATCAACATAGTCGCCGTGGCCAGATTCTTGCCGATTATGCGTCTCCCAGATCGCATTTCGATCCGTCACGGTATCAGCGGCGGGCGGTCCTTCACAGTAGACTTTCCTGACTCCCGAGTAGTATGTACATTGCCCGGGTTGGAAGGGCCGATCACTGGGCGTGGCTCTGCGGAATTCTTTGTCTGACAGCCCTGGGCGAGCTGGTCGCCAGGGATTAGGGCAGGGAATGGCCTCAACCACAACAACCACCACCCGCCCGTGCCAATCCGCGCAAGGCGGCATGACTTGATTGGGAGGCCTCGTGCGAGGTTCCAAGGCACTGGAGACTTTGGGATTGCCTGATTAAGGAGGTCCTGACATTCCCGGGGGCCCGTCGCCCCTCGAGATCTGGGCAGTAATGTTGGTCCCCGGGGCGGTCGTACGGGGAGGCACACACTGCACCACAGGATGATGACCCGATAGTTTGGGGGTCCGGTTGAACAATTGAACTTTGCTTTATCTGACATGCAGAAAGGTTCTCTTTCGCGTGCTCCAGACGCACATATACGAAGCACTACCCGTATCTCGGTACGGTCTTTGTCCCTCCCGCTGGACGCGCGCCCCACCGAGGATCCAGGGGCAGCGCGGCAGTCCCTGGCAGTAAGTGAGCAGTGGCAGAGGGCCACAGCAGGCGACGCAGGTCCGGTCAAGAATGGGCTTTCCTTGGCTTGCGCACGTACGTAGTACGTAACTACTTACTTACCGCCAAAGCCATGCCCCCGTCGTGGCCCTGCTCGAGCCTCAATAATGTCTACTCGGGATTGAAGCACTCCGTAGCGATAAAAATATCTTCCGGTGGGTAAGGACTCCGTAGGCAATCGATAGAGCTCGGGGCACCAAGCTTTGGGGAGGAGCCGGGCTGCTCCCTTAATTATCCCTCCGACCGATCGGCCGCTAACCATGGGCCATCGCCGCCCGTGAAACCGCTAGTGGCTGCTAGCCTCGGCTCGTCCTGCGTCGACCATATAATTCTGGCCAGTTTGTATCTCGCAGGCACGCTCCCTTCATGACTCTGTCTGGGTTTAATTATTTAGTTATTGTGGTCGTGCTTACGAGAGCTGTCTCTCCAGACAATGCGCTGGAATAAGAATGTGGCTCTGCGCTCGCCTCCTGAGGACGGGGTGTTGGCATCCCTGTCCGCAGAGCTATTTGACGCGTCCATTCCTCCTAGCGGACTAAGTTTGTTCGGGGCCCCTGGTCAGGATTATCACATCGCACACTTGGCCTAATTGCCTAACATTTCACGGCGACTACTCCGTAGTATATATGCAAGTTGGCTGCAGGTGCCGTGCAGATGTCCACCCAGGTCATCTGCGTCCCCCGCGTCGGCGCTTACTGGCCGCCCGTCGCCTCTGCCTCGTCAGTTGACACCACCCTAAGGTGCGGTGAGCTCCGGCGACAGAGGACTTCACAGACCGACCTTGGAAAACCATATTGCTGTGGCATCTCTTGCATTGCTGCATTAGACCCTGCTGGGTTCGTCAGGTCCGACATCCCAAACGGACCGGTCCGCCTGTTTGTTCATGATCGCGATCGGGTGATGTCGTCACTTGCTCTCGCCCTCGCATCAATATCGCTAGGTTTATGCCAGAGCCTTTCGAATGACGGAGGCAAGCCGCCTCACTCCCTCTTCTAGCTGGTCTTCTCCCTCCCACGCGAAACAAAGGCGCACCCCGTCGTCGAATTCATTCTTCTCCACCACCGGGTCTCCTTGCACCCGGAAGACATCCCCGGCCGCCACCGTCAGTTTCTGCTCCTGCAGCGCGATGAGTGCAAGCTCGCTCGCTCGCAGTGGGGTTGGTAGCCGAATCCAGATAAAATACCCTCCTGCAACGTCCGGGGCTGGACGCAGCGACACGCCAAGAGGAACAAGATGTTCGCGAATGGCCGTCATCATGCGTTGATATCGACGAGCGTACGCTGGTCGCAAAACTTTATCCACAAACTCCTGGATGACGCCGGTGGGGAACAACTGGGCGACCACGGCAGCCGACAACTGAGACGGGGCTCCTCCAGATCGACTTGAGCCTCTATTTCCAGAACCAGGTTAGCGTTCTGAGGGTATACAGCAAGGGATGGCGCCACTACAGCTCCCCACGGGGTCACTCACGTCTGTGACAGACCGTACGCTACTTTTTCACTGGCTTCCGCCCATCCGGTTCGAATACCGGGTCCAATCAGCTTGCTGAAACTTCCGTTACTCACCGCGTTCCCCCAGCCATCTAGAGGTCCTCCGTCCAAATACCGATCCACATCCACGACGCGGGGAAGATGTGCCTGGTCAGGCTGGGAGAGCGGCACTGTTGGGTCGGGTGACCACTGCAGGAGGTCATACACATCGTCCGTAATGATCAGGGCGTCGAACTCGCGTGCAAGACGGACCAGCTGCTCTCGATCAGAGAGGGACATGGTGAGGGTGGACGGGTTGGAAAAGGTGGGCGTCGCGTAGATGACATGCTTGTAGACCTTCCCCCACGGCCTGGACGGTTTGTGTTTCTACTTGCGTCAGTGATTACCAGCAGAATCACATCAACCCAGACGGCATAGGTTAAGTAGATCTGAACATCCACCCATTTTGTATGCTGTATAGCTTCTGACGTACCGGTGCGGTGTTGTATTCCCTTGTCGCTTGTTCCTCGGCGGTCATCAACCCTTGCCGGAGATAGGCCAGATCTAACCCCGCATCATCCTGCGGGACAGCTCTCAGACGGCCGGCGAAGCCCGAATCGTCGAAGATGCGGCAAGCCAGGTGATAGGTGGGGGCGACCATCCAGACATTGCGGGTGTAGAGAGGATCGGTGAAGACCTGCAGGATACATGCTAGGTTCTGGCTGGCGCCACCCGTGATGCAAATGCGGTCCGCAGTGACGGGGTCGTTTGGCTGGTAAAAGGCCGTTAGCCAGCGGGCTACATGTTCCCTCAATGGCTGGTAGCCTTCATCCGGGCCATACAGCAAGGCGGGCGTCCAGATGGCCGGGTTGGCCATGACCGTGGCGGAGGCCTCAGCCAAGGCAGCCGTGGGCAGTAAGGCGGGGTTGGGCCAACCACGGGACAGATCGACTGGAGCATCCATGTTGGTTCTGCTGGGGGATCCGATCGATAACGGGTGACGGATGATATCGGCGGGGTTGGTACGTTGGAGTCGTCAGAGGCCCCAATTGGTGGCACCGGGTACGTGTATCTTGACGTCGGTCGTGGAGGTTCGAGGATATCAAGTTTGGCTGGGCATCGCTATATAAAGTAGTGACTTTCGTTCGGGTGGCTGGTGTTCGCTTGCGTAAAGCGATGTCTGTCCCCCTCACCGTTCTCGATTTGGAAATTGCTAGACAAGATATACAGGATTGATGTCAACTGCCTTGTTCATGAGTGCTTTGAGGTGAGTTGACTGGTTACTAGTAGACTAGAACCAGTGGCAGTTAGTTATCTCCTCGCTGTTCCCTGTAGGTAAGCAGATGACGAGATGGCAATCGTTCTGGAAGCGGTCCAGGGGAACAACTGAAATTCCGGCACCAAGTGCGGGGCACATCGCGTCCCCTCTGATTGGCATCGGATCCGAGCGGTGCCTGGATTCGGTCAAGCCCGGTACACGGTACGCGGGCAGTACTGTGTATTGAGTACGGGACAGCCATAGAAGTAAAACTACGGAGTACTCCGTACTACTACCGCACTCTCTGACCACTGTCTGGCAGAGGGGTTGGTGCTCGAGACACTCAGGATGACACGTCTACTTCCCTAGATCAAACACCCATGGTTCTTCCGGCTCCATCGAACCCAAACTGACTACGCCGTATACAGTAGGCGATCGGATGGCATCATCCAGAAGCCCGACGTGTGTCCGGGTGCGTGGCTTGCAGTCTTCACTCATGTACTTCCACGTCCGGAAAGACAGGCGCCGCACTAGAGTCCAAGTAACTTCTTCCCCGTACAGTAGCGCCGGTGATTAGTACCCCTGCCCACTGCAGGCAAGGAGAAAAAGTAGGTACGGAGTGGCTGCGACTACTATCTATTCTTAGCCCCTCCTCCTCCTCCGCCGGACATCCCAATGAAAATCGCCCTCTGGCAGATGTACGACCTTCACGACGGCCACCTGACTTTGGGCTGTCTCTGGTGCCTGGGGCCAATGGGAGGGGACGGCGGAGGCATGGTGAAGGGACTGATCGAACCATTGGCAACGATGTCAGGCAGGTTAGGTAGGTTGTCGGCTGGGAGGAGAATCCAACGCGACGTGCCAAGTGCCAACCGCTGCTCAAATATGCTGTGCGGACCGGGCAGGTCAGGAAGCATTGTTACAGATTACGGAGGTCCGACAGCCCCTGGATCGGAAATCCCAATCCACCTGTCATCATGGGAGGCCAGGGCTCTCTCCTTTTGTCGCGGGCTGTCTCTCTACTGTGGTGCTGCCGACTGAGCCGAGGGATACGCCCATGGCATAGCAGATAAATTGCATGGGAGTGCTCCGTAGTAGTGACTTGGCCAAATCGGTGGTTGGTCGAACCGGAGGGTGGGAATCTGAGGTGCTGAGAGGGGCCTTCGTGGTTCTCCGAGATTCCGTCATCCGATCAGAGTTCGTACCTTGGGAGGGAGCAACAGGGAGCAACCTTAGGCAGGAACCTTCGTCAGGATGGTGTAATTTCTGGGGCTGCCTGCAAAACGCCTTGCGAGGGCGCGGCGCGAAAACGGGAAGGGAAGAAAAAGAAAAGAAAAGAAAAGATGCAGAAGAAACCGATGGTGAACAACAACAATGTAGTCAGTCGGTCACTGTACTCCATACCCCGTAATGTGTCTGCCTTGGGGACCACCACCTGAGGGAGGCGGTGATGACAAAATCGAGAGACGGCGGAGGACAGAAGAGAGCGAAGGAATAAATAGAAAGGAACAACTGGCGGCCTCCAACCTCGCCGACCCGAACGGAACGAACCCCACGGCGACTGCATGGACATCTGACTGGCCGAGCCTGAGGAGCATCAGCCTCCTGAATCAGAGTCTGCACTGCCTCTGGCCAGCCCACTCGCGACTCTGCCTCTTACTCAGTGCGACTCCGTACGTACTCAGGTGTACCTAACGAGGGTCGAAATGAAATGAAATGAGATCCCATTCCAATATCATATAAAGTGGCTCAATAACAGCCGGCCAGCAAGCCCCAGGAGACTACCCAGGACTAAAGCAGGTCATTCCCCACCCAGGGAATCCACTGGAAGCCAAAGAACGAGCAGAAGCCCTGGTCGTCATAAGGATCGTTAATTATCTAACACGAACCAGGTGAATAATAGGAACATCCAACCTCCTCCTCCTGCTGCTGCTGCTTGGGATTATTGACTCCTGTTCCCCCTCCGTGTCTTTCTCTCACACTCACTCGCACTCGCACTCGCACTCGCTTTCCCCCTCCCCCTCTTCTGCTTCCTCCGTCCTCCGTACGTCAACTCTATAAATCCACACCCGTCGGACTCTCCCTCCCTGTCTGAGACTCTGACACGCCCCCTCTGGCCTGACACTCCCTTTGCTCCCCTGCCCATGGTTGTCGGGAATCTGATGCACCTCCAGTCCCTCTCCTGCCGTGGCTCCACCCGTCGATAAAAATAATCCTTCATTGGAGGGCAAGAATAGGCAGGGTATCCAGCTGCCTTCAACTCCCTTCCCCTCATAGCACCCTTCCCGTCTCGTCTTTTATTTTCATTCTTTTTTTTTTTTTGGGGTGTCCTTTGCCTTTTTTTTTTTATTCCCCCCCCCCCTCTCTTAATAGTTTTTTTTCGCTTCATCTATCGAGCTTTGTTGCTTTGGGAACAGCCTCATTGTCTGTGTCCTCTTTAATTTTCTGCTCCGTCCGGCTGCTGCGGAGTCAACCTCCAACCACTGTTCTCCTCACCAGCAGGAAAAAAACCTTCCTCATTCCTCCCCTTTGGATCCCTCCTGCCGATCCATTCCTCGATTCACATCGAGCGGCCTGTACATCTTGCCCGCCGCGAATTCTTCGTCCAAACCCGGCTGGGGGTCCTTGAGAGTTTTCGCATGGTTGGTCACATTCCTTCCAACTGCACCTGTTAAGGTAGGTGCCCACTGCCCTTTGCCCACTGCGCCCAGTTCAGCACACCATCCCCCGGTGCTTACTGTTTTCCTGTCCGTCATTGTCATGCTGCCCCCCTTCTGTCTTTCCTTGTCTTCTTTCCCGTTGTCTACGACTTCGTCCATTTCCCTGCGCCCGGGGACTAACGGTTTCTCGCTTTCCATCCAGCGGCCTTGACGATGCTGTCCGCTCCGGTTAAGTCGGCCAAGCGCATCTCGTCGCTTTTTTCCCTCGGGTCCAACAGGGATAGCTCGATTCCGTCGTCGCCTGCATCCCCGAATCTACCGAAGCCTTCCCCCGACCAGACGCCGCACGACACACGCCCGCGAAGCGCCTCCCGACCCATTCGCGCAGCCTCCAACCCTCACAGCGACTACGCCGACGCTCGGACACCCGTGTCACCCATCCCGAACGATGGGTTCGACTTGGACGAACCCCTCCCCCCGCCCCCGTCGCTGCTGGCCGTGAACCAGGACCTGGCCAACAGCACCCCCAACTCGCCCGATGGCAGACCCCAGAGCAGTCGCGGAAGAAGTGGGAGCAGGCCCTCCAGCTCCGCGGGCCTGTTTGTTCCGGGCGCGGGGCCCGATTCGCGGCCCAGCACCCCCTCCTCCAAGCGACGCAGCTGGATGCCCGGGCGCGCGCGGGCGAGTTCAGTGGATCCCCGGGCAAACAATGCGGCATCGCCCAGTGCGTGGATTGCCGGGTTGGAGCAGAAGATCATGTATGATCTGGAGCCATTGGCCCGAGGAGAACAGGTATGCTCTCAATCGCTCCGCCAAAAACGCTCTCATGTAGACTACTTGGCTAATTCCGTCCCTTCCGATAGATCCCCGAACTTTGGAACGAAAGCGGAGATACTTACGTGTACCTGTTTCCCCATAACACTGGCCGACCGGCCTCCTTCAAGGTCCACCGCACGGTCTTTGTCGAATCTCCTTCCCTCCGGGATCTGGCAATGGGAACCGGCACCCCGACCTCCCTCGAGCAACAGACCGGCGCTCTGTCTTTAAGCAGCCCCGTGGTTGGCCCGGCATCGCCCCCCCTGACGCCTCAGGACCGTTTGGCCGAAAATGATAACGATAGCTCCGGTAGCAGGAGAATGGCTTACATGGAGGATGACGGCCCGGACGAGTTTCAGGAGTTCCATCTCTACCTTCCCATTCCCTTGAACAGCGACGTGTCCAGCTCCGGTGCTCGAACTTCGCAGGAGGACACCGAAACCCTCCTTCTGTTCCGTAATCTGTTCGCCTTCTTGCTGGGTCAGTCCCTCATTGCGACCCCCCGGTCGCCCTCTCTCTTCTCCATTTTCATGGATGTCGCGACGCTGTTGTCTCGGTTCGAATTTTCCAACTTCGACGGCAGCAACTTTGGCGAGACTGCAACCACCAGTTTCAGTAACTACTGTGAAGAACTGAGACTGGCAGACGTGCGTAAGAGCCGCGAAAAGACCATCGAAGCCATTGTTCTTGGAGAACGCCTCCGCTTCTTTCCCCTCTACCTGGAAGGTTTCGTGCATGGAGTTGGTAAGCTGGACGAATTGAAGCAGCTGAGGAGTCCGAAGTACGGCCTCATCAGCCCGGTGACGCAAAAGCGCCTGGAACGTGGGTTTATTGACCTCGACACCCGTCTCCGCGTCCTTTACAGCAAACTTGACGACTTTGACTTCCCGTCGGTGTTCTCCGGTGTCGCCAACTCGGCCACCTCGGCCGAAAGCAAGGTAATTCGATTCAAGGCCTGGAAAATTGCCTTCATGGAATTCCGGCGTTTCACCATGCAGTACTACCGGCAAAAGTACGGCTCATGGCCGCCCAAGGCCCGGTCCAAGAAGAATCAGTTTGAAGAGAGCGGCCTCAACCGTCAGGTCGTCAACGACCTGTACAATGATTTCGCTAACCTGTACGATATGATGGTGGATCGAAATGCGTTGACGACTCGGACGACGGACATGGCTGCGGACATGTCCGAGGCCTCAGATGCCGATGGGATGATGACGCGTGCGCTCCGACAGGTCATGAGCGAGTACGATCGAAGCACACCTCCGGTCCAGCCCCCGATTCCCTTCGACATCCCGCAGTACCCGTCACTCCAGGCATTGGAGCGCAAACCGATGGATGCCAAGAAAGAAGCCAAAAAGAAGGCCAAGAAGCTCAAGGACGCGGACATCAACGCCGTCCTCATGGACTCTTACACGCGCGAGAGCATGAAACCCACTCCGTTCATTGAGGCATTCATGCAGTTCGAGAGACGATGCGCGCACGGCAAGAATGTCAATGACATGATCGATCTCCGGTGCGGCCAATGGATCTTCCTCTACTGTATCATCCAGTCGCTGCCGCTCGTTGTCGTCGATGTCCAGGATATTAAGTACGTCGACAACGTTGAATACTTCCTCTGCATTGCTCCTCGTGGTGGTGCACCCTGGATTCAAAACGACAGCAAGGCCGCGCGCAGTTGGTTTGGTGTGGCAGGCGGAGCTGGTGTTGTCAGCCTGCCTTCGGATGTGGTTATCAACGGCGTGGAAGGTATCTACCGACGGAGTCACTGCTGGCAGGTGGCCGAGCAGTGGGCGGAGAAGGATGCCATCCTGGCCCCCCCGACGATCGATGATCCTTACGACAACGAGTCGTCGCTCTCCTCGCCCTACCAGGCCCAACAGTCGTCGGCAGGCTCGTCATCCGAGCAGCAGCAGCAACTACAGCAGCAGCAACAAGGACAAGGAACCCCCCTCATGAGCCCAAGTGGCCTCACCCCGCCACCTGCCATCCCCAGACTCAACTCGCCTGCTATCAACCGGAGAGCGGAACACCGCACCTCGATCTATCCCGGTCTGGAGGCCCTGCCGCTACCTGCGGGCGTGGCGCCGATGGACCCCCCTGCTCGGCCCGTCAGCCGATTCAACCCCAACATGAGTTTCGACGACATTCTGCGGCAGGTGCCCAACCAGCAGAAGAAGAAATAAAAGCGCTGCATCTCCGTGTATGTATAACGTCCGAGCGGAGACCCGCGCGTGATCGGGCCCCGACTTGGACCCGTGTGTCCGATCCTCTTCATCCTTTGCATTACTACCATTGTCGTTTCAGCTCTTGTGTCCTGTCGTCCTTCACTTTCCTTTCCTCTTGTTTCTATTTTCAGATTTCCTACGTCTCGTAATGGGCGCGCACAAGTCCCTCTGAACCAAAAGGCTGGAACGGCGTAAATGAGCTTCTCTTTCAAATTTCCTTTTTTTTTTTTTTTTCATCTTTTCGGGTCGGAAGCAGCGTCAAGAAGCCGCCGAGGGTATCCGCAATGATCCCGCCAAGCCTGTATTGGGCGAGACCGCATTTGGAACCATTACTTTTTGAATATCTTCCTCTTTCCCTAATCGGCACTCCCACGCTCCTTGACCTGGCATCGTCGCTCCCTCGCATGGCTTGGCTTCACGCCCCTCTTTCTGTCCTCTCCTGTGCTTGTGAATTTCGCTCGTGGGCGACTGTGCAGACAGTCCGATTTGGTGGTATTTACTATTATAAGACGGATAGAGATAATATGTCCTGTGGGACTGGTAATATAATATACCTTGGGATGGATTAAATAGTAGATCTGAAGTAGGTCTTTATACAGATTTATGTTGTAGTTGTAGCCAGAGCTCAGAGTAGGTCAGGGATTGTCTGATCGACAGGGGTCCACGATAAGATAACTGAAGTGGAAAAAGTTTTTGGGGCTTCGGAGGAGAACTTGAATTGTTGGTTTTATATATAGGAAATGGAAATTAGAAAAATGGCGCAAAAAGAGCAAATAAGAAAGTGGGGACTTATCTCTGTAATTTGTCGAGTGAATTCAACACATGAGTCTAATCTGTGTTGTATGGAGATCAAGATACTATACAGCCTGCACTCACGGTATATATTGGTGCATATAATGCCGTGTAGGACTGAGCTCATCCACTGCTTGTACTAGTCGGAATTGATTGTGGTACGATTAGATATTTCCCATACAGATATTATCCAAAAAGAAATTTTTAATGTATCACCCATCCCCTTCTTCGAAACATCCCAATTCTTTTTGTTGTTGAGAATTCAGTCAGTGATGCGCATGGATAGGGGGACTTTGAAATGAAAAAGACGGCTATCGTGTTATCGCGATAACTACTAATCGGCCTACCTGCCGTCCGTCCAGCTCCCACCCCCGAATCGGGATGCGGGGTGAGGCGGGGCAGCACTACCCCCAGGAACAAATGAACAAAAACAGAGCCTCCCCCCACACCCCCTTCCTTCCTTTGCTACTGAAGAATCTCTGGCGATACTTTTCTTCTGATATAAAAAATCGGGCGATGTTTATATATTTCCCTTCGAGATATTGGTTTCTCTGATGTTTTGTATCTCTGTGCATAGATGTAGTAGAGAGAGAGAGTCATGGGTTAACTAATCAAGGGGTTTTTTATTCCTTGATAGTTACTCGGCTCCACTTGCCTCCCGCTGGATAAGACGCGTCGAGCCGGATTCTTTGATATCGTCTCGTCGTATCGCGTCTCGGATTTGATCTCGCGTGTGGCAGACAGACAGATATCGTGGAATGAGGAGATTCGTGTATCTGGTTTACTCATGGCATCCTCTGTCTTTCAGAGGGGTGGAGGTAAAACTTTATTTTTTGTTACGATTGCTGGGGGTTAAGTACATGGTCTGGTATAAAACTTGGAAACTGGAAATTGGACACTGAAAACTAACAGCTTAAACACCGCAGGATTCCCTCCTCTCAACCTATGAGTTGTCGACCATCCGAATAACCCTCCAACCTGAACAAATTTCACTCGAAGTCGTGAATTGATATCTGAGGCTGCGGAAAGAAAAAACCCCCGCGGTAAACCCGGTCGCTGTGCTCTTCTGGCTGGGGGTCGGTCGCGCCGTAGGCGATCTGTTGAGCTCGTTTGTCTTCAACCTGCTCTTTCTTTCCGTTGCATGGCTTTGGACTTGCGACGGGGACTAAAGAGTGTGGGAAGAGTTCTCGCAGATATACGGGGGGGAGTGTGGGACTGAGAGGTATGGTGCTACTCCTAGTGATTCGCGTTTCTCAAAAAGTCCTCTGGCAGGGGAATGGATCGATACGGGATCATGTCTTATGTGGTAGTTGCTTGGACTACAGCCCGTGTGGAGTACCATCAGCCTACTTTACTTCGTCTGTGCCAGTGTGTCGAGCCGCGACCCTATACGCGCCCCCTCTTCCTCCCTCTTTCTCCTGACAAGGCAGAGCCACCTAGGTCACATCAACCCAACGACCCTACGGCCTCATATCCTTGCTGTTGACTCCCATCGTCATCAAATTTCTACAAAATCAATGTTTGCTATTTACACCGACCACGAAGGGCGAAAACGGGTGCGTCCAGTCAAATCCCGCGGCATGTACCCTTCCGACATCTTCAGGGCCGCCGACCGGTCACGACCCGGCTAGAACTCATCTGTTAACAGACTGTCCATTTGAAGGGATTTCAGGACGGAAGCAAACTTACACGATATGATAGCCGTGGATACGGCGATCTTAGAAGATTAATATATTTTTTATTTTTAGCTAATTTATTAATAAAATCTATGCTAATATTCTGTCAGAGATATTTAAATATTAAAAGAAATATTAGTAATCTATATTTTTATTTATACTAGATATAAGATTTATAATAGATATTATAATCTTATATAAATCTTTAGATATTCTATATTATATTAGACTAAAAGTATTTATAATTAATTACCTTATAAATATATACTTACTCTAAATATTCTATTAAAAGAAAGTTATATATTTTCTATACTAATCTAGTTTGCAAAGACTTAGATTTTAATATTGATTTATATTTTTTAAAGATTAGAATCTCTTAACTATTAATAATATATTTAATAATAAAGATTTTTAGATTAAATTAGAAGAGAACTTTTATATACTCTGATTAATAGCTATCTTTATTTTTTAATATATATAATTCTTATTAGAGTGGCTTAATCTGATCATTTTATCTTAATCTTAATCTGATCATAATCTGACAGTTAGATTAAGATATAAAAAATTTTTAATTATATAATTAAGATTAGATTAAGATATAATTATTATTTTAATTATTTATATTTATTAATCAGAAAAATTAGATATAATAGATAAATTAATAAAATCTAGATTAATTTATAATATATATATTTTTCTTATATAAATAATATATAAAGTATAATATATATTTAATTATAATATAATAATATTCTTTAAATATAGTCTACTGCTTAATCTATTTAATTAATTATTTTAAAAAATATACTATATTTTAAAAAAGATTTTTATAAAATTTAATATAAAAGAAATAAAATAAATATAAAATACTTATTTTTTATATTATTCAGAATAATAATTATAATAATATAAAAATTATAAAAATTAAATCTCTATCTTTATCTAAATATATATAATAATTAAAGACTTAAATAAAACTAGTTTCTTTAATTTTAATAATAATTTATTTTTTAAATTATTTTTAAGATTATCTATATTTTTATTCTTATTAATATAAAAGATAATAATTATCTTAGTCTTTTTTTATTTTTTAAATATAAAAATAATTAAATCTAAATTAAGATTATTAAATATATTCTAATAATTTTTACTCATAATAAAATAATTAATATATATTTAAAATATAATTACTTTAATTATATTAAAATAAAAACAGCTCTGATAATAATAGTAGATATTTTAAAAATTATTAAAAAAATATTTAATATTAATATTATTAATTATAGTTAAGAAAAAATCTCTAGCTATTTAATAAAAAATAAAAAATTAATTATAATAAGATTTTTAATAGATAAGAATATAAATATACTTTATAATATCTAAAATTTTATTAATTTAATTAAAAATATCTTAAAAAATTATACATTTTTAATATCTAGATTTATCTTAAGTTTTTAATATATTTTAATTATAGATAAAAGTCTCTAATATTTAAAATTATTATAAAAAATCTTATTCAGATCTAATAATAATTTAAAAATTATTAATAATATATTAATTATTAGATTTTAATTATAATAAAAATAAAATATTTTCTTAAAAATATTTTCTTAAAAATAATTTAATATTTATAATATTAGTTAATATTATTATTTAATTATATATATTTTTTTAAAATTCTTAAGCTTTAATATTAGATTTAAAATGATTATAATTATATAAATATAATCTTCTGTCTAATAAATATAATAATAATATTTTAAAGCTTTTAATATATATTATATAAATTCTTAAGAATCTTCTTTTTTTAGAATATCTATTTTTTTATTAATTTATTATATAAAGAGTTTAGATATTTAAAAAGATTATTATAAATATTATAGATTTTATAAATAATAGATTTATTATTTTTAAAAAGATAGAAAATAAAAAAAAATATAAAAATTTAAGAAGATATTCTATCTATTTTTATTTAATTATAATAAAATAAAGATAATTAATATTATTATATTTATAATATTAAATAAAACTTTTAATTACTTAATAAAGACTAAATATGTAATAAATTATAAAATAGATTAAGTTTCAGTAAGTTTTATAATTAAAAATAAATAACAAATTAAATTAAATTTAAATTATTAAATAAATTAAGACTTCTTATAATATTAAGAACTTATATTTATAAATTATATAATTTTTGAATTTATAATTAAAAATTAATATAATAAACTAGCTGATAGAAGATTTATAAAAACTTTTTATAAAGAATTAATATAAATAATTTCTAAAAAGATTTTATATTAATTTTTTATAAATAGCTTCTAGAATATATTTGTTTAAAAAATTTTAAAATATTAAAAAGGATTTTAAGACTTTTATTATTATTTTTTTATATATATTTAATAATATTGTTTAGAGTGGCTAATAATTAGATTAGATCAGATTAATTAGAACTTTTATATCTGACTGTCAGATTATAATTAGATTAAA